CTCTGACTCCAGCATCTGCAGTTCCTACTATCTCTCTTTTGCAGTTTTAAAGTTGAGCCAGATCTTAACTGTTAATCTGAATTATAGTTGGTAAAAACTTTACTGAAATCCTAATTGGACCGAGTTCCTGAACTAGCATTTGGTTTGTGCAGCACTCTATGCTTCCCCCAGAAGAAGCTAGATAAACACAAGAGAGAAGGGAAAAGGAAGGTGTGTTGTTGAAATTGGAAAAATAATTGGAGGAGAAGACTCTTGTGTAGCATTAAGTGGTATGGACTTGTTGGTCTGGATAACCTGGTCGTAAGATATTAATGCATTGTAATTATTATGAGATCAACTGTCTAAAAGCATATCTCCACTCCTTTGGCAATGAAACAATTAACAATATTGTCTTGCTGCCTTTTTTCTCATAAGAGTAGCTTAGAAGTTGTTAAGTTGATGCTGAAATTTAAACTTTGGGATCTTAAGATAGGAATCTAGCTTTTGACTTGTGGAATTTAATGTCTTATTAAAAAAAAAAAGCTGGGATAAAAATCCTTGCCCCTTCACTTTTTTAACTCTTCATATCCAGGTCATTGAGTCATATAGCATGGAAACAAAGCCTTCGGTCCAACCAGTCCACACCAACCTCATTCACAAACTGAACTAGTCTTACCTGCCTGCGCTTGACCCATATCCCTCAAACCTTTCAGAACTTCCTTCTAAACAAATGGTTTTACTTTTTCCATAGGATTCCTCTATCTACAAGCGTCAGTGAGGAGACACAGAAGGCCTTAGATCGATCTTTGCTGGATTGCACTTTCCGATTGCAGGGAAGGAATAATCGGACCTGGGTCGCAGAATTGGTATTTGCCAATTGCCCTCTGAATAGTACTTCTGCCAAAGAGCAAGGTTGGATAATATGGATGTTTTAAAACTGACACATCTGTGTAGCTTTCAAAACTTCTCAATTTTAGGTTTTAGGTTTTTTTTTAAGAATGTCAGCATGAAGAATGAAATAGAAAGTAATGTATGTTCGTTGAGGATTTCAGGTTACCCTATTCTATGCCATGGAAACTAGGTAGTTTGCTTCTTAAAATGAAAGTGTTAAGGCACGTGGACTGTAATGGCAGCGCAGTCATTCACGGGATGTGGGCTTTGCTTGCTGGGCCAGCATTTATTGTCCGTGAGAAGGTGATGGTCAGCTGTTGTCTTAAACTGCTGAAGACCATTTGGTGTTGGTAGACCCACAATGCCAATAAGAAAGGAGTTCCAGGATTATGACCAAGCAACATTGAAAGAACTACAATATATTTTCAAGTCAGTATGCTGAATGGATTGGAGGTGAATTTGCAGGTAGTGGTGCCATTCTCATGTATCTGCTGTGGTTGTGCTTCGAGATGGTCGTAGTCATCAGATTGGCAGCTGCTGTTTCAGGAGTCTGTGAATTTTCGCAGTGCATCTTGAAGACCCCCATACTACTGTTATGTGTCACTAGTGGGGGAGTGAATGTTTGTGGATGCATTCCCAATCAAGCAGGCAATTAAGAATGGGCAATAAACACAGGCCAAGCCAGCAGTACGCTCATCCTGTAAACAAGTAAGTTGGGTGAATAAACTTAGCGAACAACTATTTTAAGTCACCATAGTGTATAAGTATTCTGTGATACATATGTTGAAGTCTTATTAGGGGAAAGGTTATTGCTATATATTTTTAATATTTATTGTCTTATGACCTGGATATGAAGAATCAAAAAAATGAAAGGGCAAGCATTTTTATCCCAAATTTTTTTAAAACATTACATCCTCAAAGTCAAAGGCTAGACTCCCATCTTAAGATCCCAAAGTTTAAATTCCAGCATCAATTTATGTTGGAGTTCAAAATGTAAAATATTAATCCAGGATGCTTTAGCTGCTGCATACACAACTAGACCAATGGAAAACAAATTTACTTTGAATTCCAAAACATCTCTTGACAGCATATGGAATATCTTATTCCAAAGCAATGTGTTATTACATGAGTAGAATTGTGTTCCGATATGTGTACTTTTGTTTGCAAGAGATGTATAATATTTATTAACAGCTAAAATTAAATTTTCAAAGAAGTAAATTGGGATTGAATGTACATTCTTTTTACTTAGCTTGACATTTTCTGTCTTTTAAAAGCCTCATTAAGAAAATAGAATAAGTTTTTATTTGCAAAATTAACTTTGGGAACATTCAACGTAAATCTACAGCACCCCACAAAGTAGGGGTCACACTTTGTGTGATATTTTCTCAGTGTAACTACAACCTGAGTCCATGGTTCTGCTCAAGCTGACACCAAAGTGATGAGGAGTAAGGTTTTCTGTATCCAAAATCAGATTTACACTTCTCAAATCCAGTAATGGTAAAAAGCTAAAACCCTTTGCACCAAAACTGAACCTGTCAAAGCACCATAAGTGGCATTTTATAGGTCTCAACCAGTTTTGGTATTGAATTAAATTTTATATGCAGACAATGAATATGAGCATCAATTGTTGCAATCAAAGTATTAAAAAGGTTTGTAACCAATATCTTCAGTCTTTGTGGATCTAAAATCATTGTGCCTTTTGAAAAACTGCAGTATGAATATGTTCAATTATAATGTGCAGTATATCAAGTGAGATCATAAGATGTATGAGCAGAAACAGGTCATTCAGCCCATCAAGTCTAACTATGCTTTGTATAGTTTTAGAAAAGCTTCCCTACTTTTATGCTTCTTTCCCATTGAAATAAAGGCCAGCATTCCATTTTCTTTGTATTCATTCACGGGATGTGGGCATTGCTGGCTGGACCAACATTTATTGTCTATTCCTAGTGATGGTGAGTTGCATCCTTGAACTACTGCCATTTTTAGTAAGTGAACCCGCAGTGCTGTTAGAAAGGGAGTTTCCTGTTGCATGTTGAGATTCTATATTAATATTAATAAGACACTTTTCATATCTGACATGGAAATTTGGTAGTTCATGATAAAAAGAATTCAAATAGATTTCTGTCTGTTGTTTCCACTTTCTCTCCAGGGTCAACACGTCATGTCTATCTGCCTTATGAAAGTTTATTATCAGAACCTGTTGGAGGTCGAAAGGTGGTTGAAGCATTCCTGAATGATTTGAATAGCATAGCTAAGCTCTATGACTGCGTTCTAGATTTTGCACGTTCCTTGCCAGGTATGAATTATGATATGAAATCTTTTATTTCTTATTTGACAACAGAGAGACAGGAAGTAATCTACTGACATTTCACCTTCCAGAAATACCGCCCCATCTTAATCATTTCTCAGAGATACGTGTCTATAATTACCGTAAACTTGTCATATGCTATGGAGCCCCTAAAGGCAGCTCGGTAAGCAGAATACTGTTCACTTCCTTTTATTATCTGTAAGATATGTATATAGTTTAATAGGCTACAAGTAAACAAAAATTTTAAACTTCAAAAGTTTAAGATGATGCATATGAAACAGTGGTTTCAAAAAGGCTTTTTTTAAATGTTTCAGATAACAATCCAGTGGAATTCCACTCACCAGCGTTTCCACATTTCATTAGGAACAGTCGGGCCGAATTCTGGCTGCAGTAACTGCCATAACATCATACTCCATCAACTTCAAGAAATGTTCAACAAGTCACCAAATGTTGTTCAGTTGCTACAGGTACTTCCATAAGTTACAGTTTTTAATAAAATCTTGGTGAGCTATTATGTTTCCAATTTTTATAAGTGAATTCTAGAATTTTATTGCAGAATTTATATATATGCACAACCATGCAAAGTGCAGAGGATTAATTGGGTTATTGCGGTCTATGTGAACCACTGGGGTGTTGATTGCTCATCAATTAACCTTGTCAGACCTAACACTTAAATAATAGTTGCTGTGTTTTATGCTCAATTTGGTGTACGGTAAGGACAAAATAAATTTTGAATGTTGGAGTAATAGGTTGTGGATTTTTCCCAATTGTGGCATTATGAATTCTAATGTGGGGAAGAGCCAAAGATTTCTATGGAGACAGTAAATTGTCCATTTTTAAATACCTCTCCATTGCCTCATAGATCTGTTGCCCAAAGCCTCAGGTTAGCTTGTAATGATGAGAATGCCTCTTTAAAAGAGGGAAGAAGTGTTAATATTTTTGTGCAACTTTGAAACTCTGTTTTGGTAATTTTGTGTTGAGGATTGTCATGGAAGTTGCAACTGAGATGTTCTCACATTTCCCTCCCAAGCGTGACTTTCCCAGTCCTTTGCTCTAGAGGGTACATGTTCTCTTAATGTTGAATAGAGTTGTTGGACTGGTCTGAGCAAAAGGTTGTTGGTGATTTCTGTGTAGAAGTTTAAACAATCTCATCCTAGTTTACTGGATAAGCGGGGGAGCTAATTAATTTAGTACAGGGTTTGCCACGTGATTATTTTTGTCTGTAGTTTTTTGGATTGGGGGTTTAATCATCAGTTGCACACAACTGCTGCTCAAACATATTCTCTTGGAATGCAATCGATACCTTTTCAACAAAAATAGTTTTAAAGATACCTGGCAACTTATTCTGTTTTGTAATCAGTTCTGTCTACTTTAGATTGTAGACTTCCTTTTTTTAATGTTATTTGACTTCAGTGAATTTTGCGGAGTCTCCATCCCAGACTCGGTTTCCTTGGAATGTCCCGCATGCTCTTGTCAACTTCTACTTTTAGATGCTGATGTGCTGTAATTGTCACTATGCCTGTCTTCCTTATTTTTACATATGATATAACCATTATCAAAACCCAGAGTTTAAAAACCAGGCGGGAAAACACATCGACGCTTCATCGGAGGCTGCACTGAGGATGTTACCCAGCATGATAATGAAACCTCTGTGGAACAACAAACCAACCAAACACAACACCCACAACCCGAGCTACAAATCTACTCCAAAACCTTAGAAACCCACATTGCTCTTAGCTGCCCTCTATTTCCTAATGCAATGGTGTTTAAAAAAATGATTTTCTGATATCCCTAAAATTTATTTTCATATTCCATTTTTTGCAGCTCCTAAAATCTATTTTATCACTATTGGTTGTTTTTTTATATCTCTCCATGTCACCAGGCTTTCTTTTTTAAACACTTCTGGCTGCTTTCACCTTTAGTTTTATTTCGTCCCTTGTCCTCTCTGCCAGCCACTGCTGTTTGTTTTCTTTGGCAAGTGGAGCTTTAGTCTCACTGGTGTTTTCCGAATTGTAGCATTTTACGTCGTTGGAACCTTGGAGATTCACGAACCAAGCCCGTGCTTCATCAGCCAAACTTTTACTGAACCGATTAGTAACTGTTGCTGAACTCTAAACTTTGATTGCTGTATTGTATTTTTGTGATTCTGCAAGAAAAGTCTCTATTTTATGCATGTTATTGCTACATTATTACATTTTTGGAAGTTGAATCACGCAAAGATTAGCTAGGAATACTGCATTCAATTCTGGTCTAGCTGCTATAGGAAAAATGTTGTTAAACTTGAAACATTGCAGAAAAGATTTACAAGGATGTTGCCAGGGTTGGAGGGTTTGAGTTATGGGGAGAGGCTGAATAGGCTGGGGCAATTTTACCTGGAGCGTTGGAGGCTGAGGAGTGACCTTTATAGAGGTTTATAAAATCATGATTGGCCTAGATAGGGTGAGTAGCGAAGGTCTTTTTCCCAGGGCAGTGGAGTCCAAAACTAGAGGGCGTAGGTTTGAGGTGAGAGGAGAAAGATTTTAAAAGCATCTAAGGGGCACCTTTTTCATGCAGAAGGTGGTGTGTGTAAGGATCGAGCTGCCAGAGGAAGTGGTGGAGGCTGGTACAATTACAACATTTAAAGGCATCTGGACGGGAATATGAATAGGAAGGCTTTAGAGGGATATAGGCCAAATGCTGGCAAATGGCACTAGATTATTTTAAGATATCTGGTCGGCATGGGCGAATTGGACTGAAGGGTCTGTTCCTGTGCTGTACGACTCTATGACTCTGTGTAATGTTAGATGAATGGGAAAGGGAGAGGAGCAATTTCTGGAATCTGTTCAGGCAAACTCTGTTGATCAGTAAGTTCTCAATTCAACTTGGAAGGCACATTACTGGATTTGATGCAATATATCTAGTATATAACATGTAAATTCATATCTTGAGTACTATATAGTTTTGCTCATCTTATTTCAAGAAATACATAAATGCATTGGAAAATCAATTTGGAGAAGTTTCACTCGACTAATACCTGGGATGGATGGGTTGCTTTGAGGAAAGGTTGGACAAGCTAAGCTTGTATCTGTTGGAGTTTAGAAAAAGACAGTTTGATTCAAACTCAAGATCTTAAGCAAATGTATTCAAAGGATGTCTCCTTTTGTAGGATGTTCTAGAACTAGATACGTCTGTATTAAAAATACTGGACCACCCATTTCAGATGGGGAAGAGAACTCTTTTCTTAGAGGTTTATAGTTCACTTGTACACTGTTTCTGTCTTGAAAGTTAGTGGAAATTGAATATTTTAATATTTTTAAGGTTACATTGGATAGTTTCTTGATAAGCAAGATATTGAAAGGTAATAAGCAATGTGGCATAATCAAACCAACCATGATCTTGTTGAATGGTGGAGAAAGCCTGAAGGGTCGAGTGACCATCTGCTTTTCATTCATATGTTCAAGTGAAAAGAAGTTGAGATGGGATGTGAAGAAAATTGGCTAAGAAAAAATATGAGAAAGGCATCATAGTTAAATTTAAAAAAAAAAACAAAAATGTAAACAGGGAGTTGATATTAATAGATGAGGTGGGCCTGTTAGAGTTAACGATGGTGATACATGCTGGGAGGAATAGAATAAAGCTAAAATACTTAATAACTGCTTTGTATCATTGTTTATTAAGGGAGAAGATGCCAACAAAATATTTATAGAAGGTGGAGTTCATCGGGAGGAGATGAAAATTGAGAGAACATATTAGAAAGGCTGGCTGTGTTTAGAATAAAGATGTCATCTCTCTGATAGCATATTTTCCAGGTTGCTCAATGAAGTGGCTGTTAAGTTAGCAGAAAGGCTTGTTATCATCTTTCAATATTATTTCGATAGAGATCTACCAGAGGATGGGAAAGTGACAAATGTGACACCCTTGCTCAATACTGAGTATGAGGGCATTCCTAGTTAGTGCAGGTTGCTCACTTCAACTTCAGTGGTGGTAATGTTCTGAAAATAATAATCAACGGACAAAAGAGCGGATACTTTGAGCAGTTGCATTAATTAAGGAAAACAAGTGTTTACAAAAAGCAGATCATATTTGACTGATTAAAATTTTTGCTTTTACAACAGAGGATTGAAGAAGGGATTTTAAAAGTGTTGACAAACCATTGGAATGGAATTGGATTTTCTTGACCCTGTGTCAATAATTTGGTTGTATGGAGTGTCTTTTCAGTGATTTCACCAAGTATGATACAGTAATGCCTTAAATTGAAATGTCAATGAAGATGAGCTGCTCTAACCTGTCTTGCACCTCGTATTTCACTTGTATGTGTAAATTGATCAATCAAAGGTCCTTAAACTTTTTTAAGAACACTTTAAACTCCACATCCACTTTTATTTTGCCTATTTTTCTTAGAATCATAGACTTTTACTGTATAGAAGGTGGCCGTTTGACCTATTGTATCTGTAGCAGTTCCTGGAAGAGCTACCCAGCTTGTCCCATTCTCCAGCCCTGTCTCCGTAAGCATTTAAATTAATCACTTTTAAATATATATCCAGCTCTCTTTTGCAACCTCCGAGGGAGCCTGCACCCCACTCACAGACATTGCATTCCAAATCCTAAGAAATCTGAGTGAAAAAACTTTCTCCTCATCTCACTCCTAGTTCTCTTCGTGATAATCTTGGGACCCCTAGTTACTGACATACCAATGAATGGAGATAGAATATCATTCTTTACACTGTCAGAATTATTCTTAATTTTGAACACCTCAATAAGGTCACCTCTTAATCTTCTCTGCTCCAAGGGGAATAACCCCAGTTTCTCTATTTTTTTTCTTGTATCTGAAATCCCTCATTCCTGTTATCATTCTGGTAAATTTCCTTTGAGCTGTCTCCAGGGCTTTAACATCCTTCCTGAAATAAGGTGCCCCAAACTGAACATGATACTCAAAATATGGTCTGACTAATGATTTGTGGAGGTATAACTTTTATACTCCATGCAAAGGATCCTGTAGGCCTTTCTAACAGCTGTTCAACTTGCCTGACCATCTTCATTGAAATATGCACGTGAACCCCAAGGTTCCTCTGCTCATGTACTCCCCTCAAAGTTGTACTATTGAGCCTGTATCATCTCTCCGTGTTTCTTCTACCAAAATGCATTACCTCACGTTTCTCTGCATTTTAATTTCATATGCCCATTTGGTCAACTTATCAGTGTCCCTTTTTGAAGTCGCTCAGCATCAGCCTCATAATTCACTGTTCTCCCTTGCTTAGTATTATCTACAAATTTAGAAGTGAGTGGTCTAATTCAATTAAAGCTGTCTGCTTCTGTGTTTTACATTCTGGTATCAGTTCTCTTTACTCTGTTGTTTCTTTGCAAGTAAACCAAACACATTTCTCAGTACCATTTAGTGCAGGGATGATTGCAGAATCAACATGGTTGCAAACTCTCTTTCTTGGAATTTTCCCAATTCTAATGAATGTGGAACTTGATGAATTAAGGTCATGAGGTGCACTTAGCTAGTTTCAATCTGCCTGATGACTAATCTAGTACTCATTTTGCTTACTGAATCATTGAAAGAAATGTGCGGTATACTTCAAATTTGCTTTACTATTTGAATTTATCTGTATCATATAATAACTAATTTGACATGGGGGTAAAAAGACCCACAGAATAGTTTATATCATGTTCAGGAATAATTGAATGAAAATAATTTTGTTTATGATTTTGTTGATTGTGGACAAGTTTATTTGGATTTCGGATAACTAGGCTCAGTAAATTACTGCTAGAACCTTCCTAGTCTGTGTCTCGCTGACTAGTATAAAATACAGCTGTATATTATGTTTGTGTGTGCATGTAAACTGTTCAAATTCTACATTTAACCCATTTTAGAATAAAAACAATTTTGTATATTTTTCCATAGATATTGTACGATACACAAGCACCACTGAATGCTATTAATAAACTCCCAACAGTGCCAATGTTGGGTCTCACGCATCGAACGAATACTGCTTATCAGTGCTTTTCAATACTACCCCAGTCACCCACACACATCAGGCTTGCTTTTCGTAACATGTACTGCATCGACATATACTGTCGAAGCCGAGGTGTTGTGGCTATTCGTGATGGTGCTTACAGTCTTTTTGACAACAGTAAGATCGTGGAGGGATTTCATCCAGCTCCAGGCTTAAAGGTCTGTAATTAATTGCCATAAAGAAGTTATTGATGTAATTCTTTAGAAATATTTAATTGGATTGCATAAAACCACTGATTTTAAATTAACATCATTTTACCAAGCTTGTAGGTCTCTTGTGGTGCAGTAGTAGTGTCCCTACCTCTGGACCAAGAGGCTGGGGTTCACATCCGACCTACTTCAGAAATGTATAATAACATCTCTGAACTGGTTGATTAGAAAATATCTGATAGCGTACTCGTGTCTATGTAGTACAATAGAATTTGAGAAAAAAATTTCCAACAACACAAAGGGTTGAATTACTTTCAAAAGGACACCAGTTTATGTAAACCAAAGTATGCAGTGTGTTTTAGTTAGGATACCACAGATAGTATTGGGGCTAAAAATCATTTGATATAAAGTGGCAAGTAATTCTAGGGCAAATTTTAAAAATTCAATTTGCTTATCTATTGTATATTTAAAAATGGTGTACTTGGAAGTCTTAATCATCTTTTTAATTGAACCTAAACCCAAAGGACCTATAACTTACCAGGAATACAGAGCAACCAGTGCACAATGTGATTTTCCAGGGTTCTGGAAATTTGTGTGAACTTTGCTGCCGTATCAGTTGTGGCTCTATATTTTTAAAAAGTTGCATATTACTCAAATAAAATTTGAGTAAAATGGAGAATTCTTTGGAAATAAAAATCATTCACTCCTTCTTCCTGAAACATCCAGTTGTTGCGGATGAGTGATATTAAGCAACATTGTTCCTCTTGATCATCAGTATAGAATGGCATTGACAGAAACCTGGAAGCATGTCTTCTGCAGGCTATCTTTGAGGGACAGATGAGATTGGAAATGAAAATCCAATTTCACAGACCTATAAAGGTTAGTTATAATGCCACAAGCTGTTCTAATCTTCATAAAATTAGCGACATCCAAAACTTGGATTGGATTCATGACCATGTCCTAAGGAATTCAAGATGAAAATAACCTGAGAATTTATAGCTGATTTTGTGTCTACTATGTTCAATCTTGTATTAAAAAGCTTTGAATTTGTTTTCATTACGTCCTTTTTATGGAAGGCAAATTCCTAAATGAAGTTGGGATTAAGCACAAATGTTTGTTCTATTTGTGGTGGAGCAAGGTAGTGGCAAAACTGTTGTTTTGAATGACCACAACAATGTTTTATCACCAACTTTGATATGATTTAGCCACAAATTTACCAAAAATATTTATCCTAAACTTGGTGCCATCAGAATCATTTGTTATCAGCAGTGATAAATGAAAAATCTCCCATTAGATTGCCATTATCCAGTCAAGGCTTTTAACACATGTATTATGTGAACATATTTATTAGAAGTCAGTATGTCTGTGTGTTGGGGAATACAATCGAAGCAATTGATTTCATTAAACTTTTAATACTTTCCAGACGTTCTTGAACATGTTTGTAGACAGCACCCAGGACGCACGTAGACGATCAGTGAATGAAGACGATAACCCACCATCTCCTATTGGTGGAGACATGATAGAATCATTAATGTCTCAGCTTCAGTCACAGCCACAACAGGTATCAATCTTTTGAATCATGGAATTATCCATATGTCAGGAACTATTGAGATGTAATGGTTTTAAGTAAATTTTGGAAGTAGATTTCTGTACAAGAGGTAAAAACAAATGCATCTTTTCCAAGAAAGTGATGATCATCAGTATTAACTATATTGTTTGCAAATGGCTGCTGTCAGGACTGAGATTTTGACTGTGAAATAGTTGTTTGAATCTGCTGTATTTGTTCTGTGTGCAACTAATAAGTCATGAGAGGAATCAACTGGGCAAGACTAGTTTTCAAAATTGAGTTACCATTTCAGTGCTCCTACAAACCTTTGTATGCTTCACGTTGTCAAGAAGGAAGAAAATTCCAGAAGCAATAGGTTGACTACCTTTTTTGCTTTGCATGACATTAAAGCAACCTCATGACAGTTCTGAGAAATGTTAAATGGCTCTTGAGGTTGATGTACCTCAGTCACAGGTTTTTATTTTGTCTGCAAATTGGCCTGGAGTTACTGCTTAAAATTCAGGTCTTGTCTTCTTTTCTCGTATTCCTATACTGACTAGTGAATATATAAATGAGGGTACCTTGGGTAATGCCCCCGGATATGTTAAAAGTTAACCCAGAAATCATAACCATATATGGTACAACGTGAAGTTTATGTTAACATCTGCTACTTACCTCTCAATGTTTGTCACCTTCATAGAGCTTCTGATTGTTTTTATCTGGAATAAAGTTTCATAAGTTCTGATGAATATTCCAGTATTTGGCCTGAGTGACTGGTTGGCAATATACCTTATATACTGTAATTTATTACAGAACCATAATTGCTGTCCCATAGAAATGAACTACTTGTGCGCATTCAGAAACTCAATCTGTAATCTTTTAGCCTCAGTATTCCATCAAGTGTGCGATTGAGGAAACTTTGTGACATCTCTTCAAGCTTTTTCTGAGTTGAAGTTATTTGCTCCCAGGACTCCTTGTGCTGCTTTTGATCTAGGCACTTTGAGATGTCTTATATATAATCTTCTGGTTAAGGTTGTTGAGGTTAAGTCACACTTTAAGGAAAACCAGGTGTGACAGAAATGGGCAGCGTGTACAAACATAGAGAAGCAGCAGTAAATAGGGTCAGAAAGGGCAAAAATGCCAAAAAAGCAAAATTATTAGCTCTTTAATTGAACGTGGAAAATATTCAGGACAAAATAGATGAATTAACAGCACAAACAGAGGTGAAAGGATATGATCATATAGCCATTACAGAGACATGGTTACAGGGAGATTAAAGCTGAGAAATAAATATTCAGGAGTATGTGATTTTTCAAAATGACAGACAGGAAGTGTTGTGTTGTGGGTAGAATTGTTGGTGCAGAATGGATTAAGTACAAAAGCAAGAAATTATCTTGAATTGGAAGATGTAGAATCCAGATGGGTGGAGGTAAGAAATAAAAAGGGAAGGAATACACTGATAGGAGTAGCCTGTACTAACAGTAGCTATATTTTGAGACAGAATGAATTAGGAGTTCGAAGGATGTAACAACAGCAATACATTGATCATGGGTGAATTTACTCTTTACGTAGATTGGGATAGTTAGATTAGCAGAGGAAGCCATGAAGAAAATTCATAGTATAGTTTGGACAGTTTTTTTTTTTTTTTGAAGAAGTAACGAAGAGGATTGATGAGGGCAGAGCATTGGACGTGATCTAAATGGACTTCAGTAAGGCGTTTGACAAGGTTCTGCATGGCAGACTGGTTAGCAAGGTTAGATCACATGGGATACAGGGAAAACTAGCTGTTTATATACAGAACTGGATCGAAGGTAGGAGACAGAGGATGGGGGTGGAGGGTTGCTTTTCAGACTGGAGGCCTATGACCAATGGTGTGCCACAAGGATCAGTACTGGGTCCGCTGCTTCTTGACTTTTCTACGAAGGATTTAGATGTGAACATAGGAGTATCATTCGTGAGTTTGCAGAAGACAGCAAAATTGGTGGTGTTGTGGACAGCAAAGAAGGCTACCTCAGAGTACAAGGGGACCTTGATCAGATGGGCCTGTGGGCGAAAGAGTGGCAGATGGAGTTTAATTTAAATAAATGTGAGGTGCTGTATTTTGGAAAGGCAAATCAGGGCAGGACTTTTACACTTTATGGTAAGGTCCTTGGGAGCGTTGCTGAACAAAGAGACCTTGAAGTGTAGGTTCATAGTTCCTTGAAAGTAGTCACAGGTGGACAGGATAGTGAGAAGGGGTTTGGTACGGTTGCCTTAATTGTTCAGTGCATTGAGCATAGTAGTTGGGAGGTCATGTTGCAGCTGGACAGAACATTGATTAGACCACTTTTGGAATACTACATTCAATTCTGGTCTTGCTGCTATAGGAAGGATGTTGTGAAACTTGAAAGGGTTCAGAAAAGATTTACAAGGATGTTGCCAAGGTTGGAATGTTTGAGCTATAGGGATTCGCTGAATACACTGGGGCTATGTCCCTGGAGCGTCGGAGGCTGAGGGGTAACCTTATAGAAGTTTATAAAAATGATGAGGTACATGGATAGGGTGAACAGCCAAGGTCTTTTCCCAGGGTAACCAAGTCCAAAACTAGAGGGCATAGGTTTAAGGTGAGAGGGGAAAGATTTAAAAGGGACCTAAGAGACAACGTTTCATGCAGAGGGTCACGCATGGATGGAATGAGCTGCCAGAGGAAGTGGTGGAGGCTGGTACAATTCAAACATTTAAAAGGCATCTGGATGGGTATATGAATAGGAAGGGTTTAGAGGGATATGGGCCAAATGCTGGCATATGGGATTAGGTTTAATTCCAGATATCTGGTGGGCATGAGCAAGTTGGACCAAAGCGTGTTTCCATGTTATACACTACCAATACGTAGTGGATCCAACCAGGGATCAGAATATTTTGGATCTGGTGCTATGTAGTGAGGCAGGTTTAATAAATAATTTCAGAATAGAAGATCCCCTCAAAAATTGTGACCATAATGTGGTAGGATTTAGCATTCAGTTTGAGAGGAACATATTTGTGTTGGAAACAACTATGCTAATCTTAAAAAAAAAAAAAGGGTAATTATGAAGGAATGAGGCACAACCGGCTGGAGTGGACTGGGTTAGAGATTTAGCAGCATAGATTTTGAGGAACAACGTAGACATTTAAGCAACTAGTTCATGGCTCACAGCAAGGACATATTCCAGTGAGGAAGAATGATTCTAGTTAGGGAATAAGCTAACCATGGTTAATCAGGGTAATAGTTAAGGATAGCACCAAAATGAAAGGAAGAAATGTACAATCTGGCAAAGATTAGTGGTAAGCCAGAGGATTGGGAAAGTTTTAAAAACCAACAAAAGATGACAAAATAAAGCTAAGGAAGAGGGAGAAAAATAAACTTTCAGGGTAAACCTGTAAGTAATGTCATGACAGGCAGCAAGAGTTCCTTTAAATACATAAAAAGTGAACATGAGCCCTTAGAGGATGAGGCTGGCGAAATAACAATAGAGAATCAGGAGATGGCAGAGGAGTTAAATAAATACTTTGCATCACAGTAGATACTAACAACATGCCAAAAATGACTAAGTATTTAAGGGACAGAAGGAGGAGAGGAAATGGATACAATAACTAACACTAGAGGAGAAGGTCCTAGGAAAACCAATGGGGCTAAAGACCAATAAGGCCCCCAGGATATTAAACAAAGTAGCCACAGAGCTGGTGGATGGAATGATATTCATTTTGTGAGAATCGTTAGATTTTTGGAAAAATGCCAATGTAATGTCTTTTAGTTAAAAAGGGAAGGAAGCAATCTCGGGTCACTGTGAGCCATCTGTATTTGGGAAAATGTCAGAGTATGGTATTAGAGATGAAATGGTAGAAGGTAGTGAATAGGTGGAATTCTTGACCACAGAGGCCTATTGAGGCTGGTCATTAAGTATGTTCAAGTATGAGGGGTTTTTAATCAGTATGGGAATTGAGGGTTACAAGGGAAAAAGTAGGAAAGTGGAGTTGAGGATTACCAGATCAGCTATGATCTCATTGAATGAATAAGCTGAATGGCCTAATAATGCTTCCATGTCTTAAGATGTCAATTTGGCCAAATGCCCTTATCTCTGAACGAGCATGCTGAAGGTTGAAGCCCCAGTGGATTTAGGCACGTAATCTCTACTGACACTTAAGTGTGTTACTAACCTGGTACTGAACTGTCAGATGATTTGCCTCTTGGGTAAAAAATTAAACTTGGGTCTCATCTGCCTGTCAGGAGGATATAAAGGATTGCATGACACAATTGGATAAAGAGCAGGAAATTTCTTCCAGTGAACTAAAACAAAGATCAATAGATGGTGGACATCTGAATCAAAAGCAGAAAGTGGTAGAGAAACTCAGAATTTCTGGCAGCGTCTGTACAGCAATTCTCTTTCTCTCTACAGATGCTGCCAGACCTGTTGAGTTTCTGCATCACTTTCTTTTAATTTCTTTGTTTCCTGCTAAGCATTTATATCTCAACCATGAAAGATTCTGCCCTAAGTGTGTGCAAAGCACTATATAAATGCTTTCATTCTCACAAATGTGAGAAAGCCATGTGAATATGAAAGGAGATTCCTAATCTGGCTGTCAATATTGCAGTTTGTTTCTCAACCAGTTATGCGTGTTATGACTCCATAGCAAAATAGAGAAGATGATGGGGAGGGAAGGATATGCGTCAGTTGACCTGATCAAAGCTTCACAAGTTGTTTGACCTTTATTGTTCCATGCATCAACTACAGTGAAGAGTATTGTTGGGCAGTCAGAAGTACAGAAATTCTTCCATGCATGATTTGTCATTAGTTTTCAGGTGCTGTTTTAGACTAGAATGGTAACTCATTATTCTTAAAACGATATACACACTTGTTTCTCTCAGCCTTTTACCAAATCCAGTGGGACAGCAACCTACCCCCTGACATCGCCGCCTACGTCCTATCATAATACAGTGACTCCATCACCACAAATGATGCCTACACAATCACCTGGTAAGTGATGACTGTATTTTATAAATATTTAATTTTTCTGCACCAATGCTTATGAATATACTTGAACATTTAGTTCTATATGAACTTGAGCCTCTAACTTCAGTTCAGATGAGGGAAAAATTGGTCCACTATCTGTGTTCAGTTGTGAATGAAGATTAGTTGCTATTCCTTGCACTTTCAGTTACCTACAGACTTTGATTGGACAATTGAGTGACAATTTATGATCATCAGTACTCAGACTTCATGATCCTGTACAAAGAACCTGGAATCCTGTGACTGAAGCAAACAGCAATGTGTCCCTTCAGCTACCCAGATTGAAGTTTCCTTGTTGAGGCACACAGAATTGCAACCAGGAAGAGTATGTTAGAATGTTTAATTCAATGTACAGAAAACAAAATAGAGGGAAAAGTGAAAGTATGAGAGGAATATACCACCACCACCATAGTGGTTTTTAAAAAGACCATGAGTGCAGAAACTGACAAGTTAATCATTAAATTCCTGTGTGTATATAGACCACACGTCACTGGTTCAAAGTCCAAATTCTACAATCAATGGTTTCAAAATATATAAATTATACACCTTACATCACACTTCTCAAGGAATATTAGAAATAGGCAATAAATGCTGGCCTAGCTAGTGACAACCACTCCCGTGAAGAATTTGAGAGGGTCGAGACCTTTTCCTTCCTGGGAATCCATCAAGATGGAGGATGACCTGTTTCTGTTCCGACTTGATGGGTTCTGAAATGGCTGTTATAAATGCTGTGCCACGTTTGGAACAGATTGTCCAGATGGGTTGTTTGGATGGGTTGTGCACTCCCTCTAACACCTTGACTTCACCCCTACACGTTTCCAAGGAGACCTCTTTGCGTTTGATGCCTTTCTGAATTAGCCTTCTCCATTTTGGCTTGTCATAAGCTAAAGGTCTGTCAGGTCTCTCAGATCACAGGGCTGCTTGATCTCTTCAGAGAATCTTTAAGAACGTTTCTAAAGTATTCTTATGGGACTTGCCTACTGCAACTTAGCTCTGAGTAAAGCAGTTGCCTCAGGAAATGGTGTCAGGCATGTGAACAAATTGTTCCACTGAGCAGAGTTAGTTTTGAATATTTCACATCACAATGTTGAACAAATTGGCTTTGGGAGAATTTTGCTGTTTGACTATTTTCTTTACGCTGCATTTGGAGGATTTTGCAAAATCATAACTGGTGGTAGTTGCCAGTGTTTTGAGGTGTATGCAAAGCTTGCCAAGTCTCCAAAACACACAGGAGCACAGGTTCACTGTCCAATAAAGTGACCTGAGTCTGTCGTTTGAGATTCTGGTCATCTTCTCATCAGTTGGCCAGATGCGGGATGGAAATGTTCTGGGGTGGGATGGGAGTGGGACTGTTTTGCTATAGTTGTTAGTTGGAAAAGGTCCTCTTCCAGGTTTTTATTCAAGTTACTTGATAAGATTTCCACACTTAACTGTGAATGTGATAAAGATTAAATTACTCTCCCATTTACTCCATAAAGACGAACAGCTTCTACATTGTTCCTGTGCAAAATCTGAACCAAATCTTTTAGAAGGCTTTGGTCTTTTAGTGTCAGAGTGTCTCACTGAGCAGCTAGAGACAGTTGCCCTTGAACAGTAATTGTTTCAAACCACTTGCTGGAACTTTATGCATAATATATGCAGGAAAGATCGTTAACTTCGTATACTGACAGTGACAACTATGAAATTGTCATGTGAAAAATATAGAGCCACTGCTCAAATGTCAGTTTCACTTTCCCTACTGAAATCAATAGAGTTTGACGTTTGAAACAGTAAGTAAATTAAATACATTTCATGGTCTTTACTGCAGCTTTGCGTTTTGATTTGTGGAAATCTATTTAATTTCCTTCCCCAAATATTCATTCCATTGATATTTGTGGGGTAAAAAATGTGGAGATTCCTTTTAAGAGTAAAGAGAAATTGCAATTGTTATGGACCAGCCCAAACCCCCTTCTTTGCATCGACAAAGGCAACTCAACTCCAGCTTGTCTGCCAATTCCAACAGGTTTTCCTTTGTTATTTTCTGTAAAACTCCTGAAGTGACTATTTCAACTCCCAGGAAAAACTTCATGACTGAAAGAACCATTACTGCACAAGGCACACTCTATTTAAATGAATTAAATTCAACTCTCAAAAAGAGAACACCAACACTCGCCATTCACTGTCTTTTGAGTCCACTAATCCTAAGCCCAACCTGGAATTTGAGATTTTGATCCCGACAAGAGCCCCCAATTTGTTATGGACCAGACGTAACCCCTCAAAATATATTAAAAAGATAGCCGAGAGCCAACTTTTTTATTTTAAAGTTAAGTGTAAGATATTGTTTTCCAGATGCAGTTTGATTGGTCAAACTACGCACTTTTAAGCAAAAAGACACTTCCTTCGCCTCCGCCGCATCTGCTCCCAAGATGAGGCATTCCACTCCCAGACATCTCAGATGTCCTCGTTTTTCAAGGACCGCAACTTCCCCTCGACCGTGTCTCTCGCATTTCCCACAACTCATCCCTCACACCCCCTCCCCACAATAACAACCAAAACAGAATCCCCCTCATCTTCATGTACCACCCCACCAACGTCCGGATCCAACGCATCATCCTCCAGCATTTCTGCCATCTGCAGTCTGACCCCACTACCAAAGACGTTTATCCCTTCCCACCCTTATCTGCCTTCCGGAGGGACCACTCTCTCCGTGACTCACTTGTCCACTCCACACTCCACACTCCACACTCCCCACCACACCCGGCACTTTTCCCTGCAACCGCAGGAAGTGCTACACCTGCCCCTACACCTCCCCCCTCACCCCCACCCCAGGCCCCAAGAAAGACCTTCCACATCAAAACAGATGTTCACCTGCACATCTGCTAATGTGGTATACTGTATCCGCTGTTCCCGATGTGGCCTCCTCTAGATCGGGGAAACCAAGCGGAGGCTTGGGGACCGCTTTGCGGAACACCCATGCTCGGTTCGCGACAAACGACTGCACCTCCCAGTCGCGAACCGTTTCAACTCCCCCTCCCACTCTTTGGACGACATGTCCATCCTGGGCCTCCTGCAGTGCCACAACGATGCCACCCGAAGGTTGCAGGAACAGCAACTCATATTCCGCTTGGGAACCCTGCAGCCCAATGGTATCAATGTGGACTTCACAAGCTTCAAAATCTCCCCGCCCCAGACCGCATCCCAAAACCAGCCCGGCTCGTCCCCGCCTCCCTAACCTGTCCGTCCTTCCTCCCACCTCAAGCCCCACTTCCTACCTACCAGCCTCATCCCGCCCCCTTGACCTGTCCGTCCTCCCTGGACTGACCTATCCCCACCCTAACTCCCCACCTACACTCGCCTTTACTGGCTCCATCCCTGCCTCTTTGACCTGTCTGTCTCCTCTCCACCTATCTTCTCCTCTATCCATCTTCCATCCGCCTCCTCCTCTCTCCCTATTTATTTCAGAATCCCCTTACCCTCCTCCATTTCTGAAGGGTCCAGACCTGAAACGTCAGCTTTCCTGCTCCTCTGATGCTGCTTGGCCTGCTCTGTTCATCCAGCTCTACATCTTGTTATCTCACTATTTTTACACTGTTGTTAAAATACAGACTAAATAAAAATAAGAATTGACTTAACTGTAACTCTATTGAAATGCTTACGAAAGCAATATATCTATTAACTACTAATTAATCGCTCAAATATAATTCCATCCCCTAAACACACCCTTAGCAAAGGCAAATTCAGTAAAATAGATCATCCCACATGCAATTCTAGAAGCAGGAAGAGAACCCCAGCTTTTAGCTGTAACAGAAAGGAATAAAAGTTTCCACACCCAGCTTCAAGACCCCAGCATCTGTAAAAAGCTACAACTGTAAATTTGTGGGAGCTTGATCCCACAAATTCGGGCTGCTTCAGTTATTCCAACATTTTTTTAAAAGAAAACTCAAGGCCGCACTGTTTACTTTATTGACACCTCAGTCTCCATCTTGAGTCATTAAAAACAAAGCCAAGACAAAATACAGCTCTTATAGCCATCATATCATCACAGTTAATTTCTGCCCTTTTGTTTGTGTTGCCTTCTATTTTGTTTGTGCTTTTTTTTTTGAAGTTTGAAGAAAAAATGTGTAACAACGTGCAACTATTAAATTTTTGGTATTCATTAAATAACTTATTTTGGTATTTGTTGTATGCAAAATTATTACTTTTTGTCGCCTAACCATAAAATGGTAAATCATCATCAGTGCACAAAATTCATTTACTTAAACTTTATACAGGGAGTTTACATCCTGCAAGTTCCCCAAGTGGTGCAATACGAGCTCCTTCACCAGCATCATTTGTACCCTCTCCATCTCCATCCTCCCTTGGAATTTCAATGGGACAGACACCAAACTTTGCAAGCCCACATGGTGAGTTCTTAAATAAAAACTAAGTACTGATTATGTTGGAGATCTGAAATAAAAACAAAAAGTACTGGAGAAACTCAAAAGGGCTACCAGCATCCGTGTAGAGAGAAACAGAGTTAATGTTTTGAGGCTAAAATAACTTCTTCAGAACTGAACTCTAGAAAAGTTACAGCTTACCAAAAATTCCATCTGTGGCTACATTTCCTTCCTGTTAAGACTTTTATCAACCATTATACTTTATCAAATTGGCACACCAGAATTTGCTATTGTGGTTATGGATATACCAATCAAATCTAAACATGCTTTCAAAATCTTTGCTAGTTCTTTCTTCAGTCCATTTATTCAGAATAAGTTTACAAATTGATATAAAATCTAAAAGTTTCACAATTGCATCATAGATTTTTCCATTGAATTATTTTATTCATTTTGTAACTCACTTTTGCCTTAAGCCCTGGTCTTGGGCTTGTGCTTTGATTAGGATGATGTTTTCAGAGTAATTGAGCGTACTCTCTGTGTATATTATCTCGGGATTAGTCTGTAGCATATAAGAAAATAAAAAAAGAAAATCTAACACTAGTTAATGATTATAATCGAAAGGTATAATCATTCTGCAGTATATGTTGGCAAATTAGAACATCCTTAGAAAAGGAATAAAATTAATTGAGCTGAAATAAAATTTAAAAATTGGTGAACTATTTTCAGTGCTGCAAGGAAACTTCGGAGGGATTAATATTTTAAAATACATTACAGCAGCCACACGGAGTATTGTAGTAAGTTTCAGTTCAAAAGTACTCTGCATATGAATGTAGTTTATTAGTGATTTTAGTCCAAGAAATTGATTTTCACATGACTGATTTTGTGATAGTTGATATAATTTCTTTAAATACTGTTTTTGGGGAAGTTGAATTGTCATTAGGCATAGACATCTCCATGATTGTGTGAATTCTTTTTCATGAACTGTTTGCGGAGAGCATGAATCTGGCTTTTGTGAGGGTAGAAGAATGAGAGTTATAATATTCAGTACTGATTTTCTTTTTCTTTTTGTTCAGGTACAATTGACCCAAGCTCACCTTATGCAATGATGTCACCCAGTCAACGTCCTGGAAACTGGCCTGGATCTCCACAATTGCCTGGGCCAACTTTAGCACGCATTCCTGGAATGTCTCCAGCAAATCCATCCTTGCATTCGCCAATCCCAGATGTATCTCATTCTCCACGAGCTGGAACAAGTGGGTTTCAACAACTATTGTTTTCTTCCAAATTGCATTCCACTTTTGCCAATATCCTTTATGGTAACCTAATTGTTTGAGTGAATACAAATGCAATTTAATTTTAATGCTGCCCATTTAATGCACCTCCTCCCATCCCACAATATTTTAATTTTTTAATTTATTCTTTCATGGGATGTGGGCACTGACGACAAAGCCAGCATTACTTGTAGAATTGTGAAGTTTGCTAAGCTATTTCATTATAGCAGTAAGAGTCCATTGTTGTGGAACTGACATCATATGTCACATTTCTTTCTCTCTAAAGTGGGTTAAACAATTGGGATTTTATAACAATTAATGGTTTTATATTGCTATTACAGAAACTAGATTTTAATTCCAGATTTTATTAATTGATTTTAAATTTAACCAGGTGGTATGATGGAATTTCTGTTATTGTTCCCAGACCATTAGCCCGACCCCCTGGTTTAGGAAAGTCACCACAGTCCCAGAGGACTGTAGAGCTCCTCTCCCATTGCAGAGAGATTACTTGTGGTGAGTTTAACTTGAGGATCACAGGAACACAGCCAAGAAAGCATAGTGACCTCAACAATGTAGGAATTGAACCTGCATTGAAAACCAGCTGCCCAGCCATCAGAGCTAACAGAATCAAAAGCAAAAACACAAATTGCTGGAAAAACCCAGGTCTGGCAGCATCTCTGAAGAGAAACCAGAGTTAACGTTTCGGGCCCAATGACCTTCCTTCAGAACCAACTCACTGTTTCTAGATTACTAATTAGTGACATCGCCACTTGTTGGTATAGTTGTAAATATGCACTATCTAATTTATGTCATCTGATTTTTATACATAAGACCTTCTCGTGGACAAGTATGGTTTTTAGAAGGGAAGAAACATGGACCTAAATATGGCTTCATTAGTCGCCTGACCACAGATTGAGTCAAGCTTCATAAAACCCATATGGGATTTAAAACAAAGCCATTCTTCAAAAAAATATTAATTCAAGAGATGTAGGCATCACAGACTGGGCAAGTATCTATTACCTTGAGAAGGTGATGGTGAACTGCCAACTTGAACCACTACAGTAAATATGCTGTGGGTTGACTTTCAATGCCATTAAGGAGGGAGTTCCAGGATTTTGACCCAGAGACTTGAAAGAATGCCTTGTATTACCAAGTTAAATGATGAATGGATTGGAGGGGAACCTGCAGGCATTGGTGTTCCCCTATATCCCCTGCCATTGCCCTTCTGGATTGAAGTGGTTGTGGGTTTGGAAGATGATGTTTAAGGAGCCTTGATGAATTTCAGGCATGCATCTTGTAGGCAGTACAACACTCTGCTGCCATTGAGTGTTGCTGGATGTAGTGCCAATCAAGTGGGCAGCATTGTCCTGGATGGTATCAAACTTCTTTAATGTTGTTGGAGCTGCACACATTCCAGGAAGTGGGAAGTATTCCATCACACTACTGACTTGTGCCTTGTCAGGAGTCAGGAAGTGAGTTGTGCACTGTGGGATTCCTAGCCTCTGAGCTGTTTTTGTAGTATTTATACGGCAAGTCTGGTTCAGTTTATGGTCAGTGGTAACCCCCAGGGTGAATTGTGGGATTTCAGTGATGGTGACACTATTGAATGTCAAGAGATGGTGGTTAGATTCTTGTTGGAGATGGTCATTGGCACTTGTGTGGTGCAAATGTTACTTGCCATTTTTCTGATCAAACCCGGATATTGTCCAAGTCTTGCTGCATTTGGACGTATGACTCCTCAGATACTGAAGCAGTCTGAAAAGTGCTGAATATTTTGCGATCATCAGTGAACATCCCTATTTCAGACCTTCTGATAGAGGGAAGGTCATTGAAGTAGCTGAAGATGATTTAGGTCTAGGACACAATCCTGAGGAACTCATTGAATCCCTACAGGCTATTTGGCCCATCGAGTCCACACTGACCCTCCGAAGAGCATCCCACCCAGACCCACCCCGTGCCCTATCCCTGAAACTCTGCATTTCCCATGGCTAATCTGCCTAGCCTGCACATCCCTGGATGCTGTGGGCAATTTAGCATGGTCAATCCACCTATCCTGCACATGTTTGGACTGTGGGAGGAAACCTACACAGACACAGGGAGAATGTGCAAACTCCACACAGACAGTCGCCCGAGGGTGGAATCGAATCCGGGTCCCTGGCACTGTGAAGCAGCAGTGCTAACCGCCACCATCTGCAGAGATGTCCTAGGACCAAGATGACAGTGCTTCAGCAACCACAACGGTCTTTCTTTGTGCCAGCTATGGCTCTAACCAGTGGGAAATTTTCTCCCAACTCCCACTGACTCCAGTTTTGCAAGAGATCTTTGGTGCCACATTTGGACAAATAAGGCTTGATGTCAAAGACAGTAACTCTCACCTCACCTCTTGAATTCAGCTTTTTTTTTCCAAATGTGAACCAAAGCTGTAATGCATTCAGGAGGTGAGTGGCCCTGGTGGAACTCAAACTGGCCGTTATTAAGCAAGTTATTGGTAAACACCAGAATTACAATTTTTATGGAATATCATTGAAACTTGGCAACTAATTCAGGGTCAAGAATCTCTTGTTTTAATACAGTTGTCTGATAATTTCAAATATTGGAAGATGAACAGTTTGCCTCCCGGTTAGCTATTTGTGTGTCTCAAAGATTGGTGCAGGAGAAATTGGTTTGAACTCAAGTGACATTGGTATCAGTACTTAGGAAGCTGTGCTGATCAGACTGGCTCCACCTGATTCATGCTGGGAACCAGAGTCTTTGCGAATCATGTAACTAGGGCTGCAGGTCAGGCTTCAAACCAAATATTTGGGGGTGTGGGTTCAGTTTCATGCAAAAAGTTATGGGGTGGGTGCTCAGTGGGGGTTAAATTTTCCAGAACAAGTGATAGGACAGAGTATGGAAAGAGTCAGGAATCTAACTTCAGGCACAGCAGATAAGGGAGCAACTATGAGAAAGGGGGCAGTAAATGCAGGACTGGCGGTGTTGTATTTAAATGCTTGCAGTACACAAAACAAAGTGAATTATCTTGTAGAGCAGATTGAAATTGATGGGTACGTTGTGCATATCACAGAGATGCTGCAAAGGGATCAGGGCTGGAACTACATATCCAAGGATATATATCATATTGAAAGGACTAGCAGATGGGCAGAGGGAACTGTGTTGCCTTGTAAGTAAGGAATGAAATTAAATTAATAGCAAGAAGCGATGTAGAGTCAGAAGGCTTAGATTCTGTGCGGGTGGAGTTGGAGAACCAGAAAGAGAGAAAAGGACCCTAATAGGAGTTATGGAAAGGCCTCCAAATAGTAAACAGGATGTGGGGAAAGAAATAAATCAGGAAATAGAAAAGGCACATAAGAAAAGATAGTGTTAAAATCATCATCGGGAACTTCAACATGCAGGTGGATTGGAAAATCAGGTTGGTAGCAGAACTCAAGAAAAGGAATTTGTGAAATGTCTACAAGTTTTTTTGGAGCATCTTGTGGTAGAGCTGACTAGAGAACACACAATTCTGTATTCAGTGCTATGTAATGAGGCAGATTTGATTAGAGAGCTGAAGGTGAAGGAACCCCTAGGGGACACTGACAATAACATGATAGAATTAACCCTGCAGTTTGAGAGGGGGAAGATTGAATTGGATGTAATATTATTACATTTAAATAAAGGTAACTACAAAAATGAGGGAGGAGCTGGCCAGAGTTGATTGAAAGGGGAACCTAGCAGGAAAGATGGTGGAGCAGCATCTCCACCAGGAGTTTCTGGGGGTAATTTGGGAGGCACAGCAGAAGTTCATCCCAAGGAAGAAGAAACATGATCAGTTGAGGATGAGGCAACCATGGCTGACAGAGGAAGTCAGGGACAGAATAAAAGCAAAAACAAAGGCAGACAATGTATTGAAGATTAGTGGAAAGCCAGATTGGAAAGTCTTTAAAAACCAGCAGAGAATAAGTTTTTTTTTTTAAAAAAAAAAAAACCAATAAGGGGAGAAGGTGAAATATAAGAGTAAGCTTGCTAGTAATATAAAAGAAGACTGCAAGAGATTTTTAAGATGTTGTAAAAGGTAAGGAAGACGAGTAGAAGTTGCATTGTTGGAACATGAGGTTGTAGAAGTAGTAATAGAGAAAAAAGAAATAGCAGATGAACTGAACAAGTACTTTGCATCAGTTTTCAGAGTGGAAGGTACCATCTAAACACCAGAACTTCAAGAGTCAGGGGACAGAGGTGCCAAGAAAGTTGAAAGGTCAGAAGATGGATAAATTCCCCAGGGTTCTGAAAGGGATAGCTGAGGAGATTGTAGAGGCATTGGTGGTGATCTCCAGGAATCACTGGAGTCAGGGAAAGTCTCACAGGACTGGAAAATCTGTAATGTAATACCCCTGTTTAAGAAGGGAGGGAGGCAGAAGGTAGGAAACTGTAGGCTGGTTAGCCTGACCTCAGTCATTGGGAATGTGAGTCCATTCTAAAGGATGAGATTGCAGAGCACTTGAAAGTGCATGGTAAAATAGGGCTGAGTCAGGATGGTTTCATCAACTGGAGGTCATGCCTGACAAATCTATTAGAATTCTCTGAGGAGGTAACAAGCAAATTAGACAAAGGAGATCTAGTGGACATGATCTAATTGGATTTCCAGGAGGCTGTTAAATAAGATAAAAGCCCGAGGTGTTAGGGGCAAAGTACTGGCATGGATAGAGGATTGGCTGACTGGCAGAAGGGAAAGAGTGGGGATAAAGGGATTTTTTTCAAGGTAACAGCCAGTGACTAGTGGAGTTCCACAGGGGTCAGTGTTGGGACACAAGTATTCACGTTATACATTAATGATCTGGTTGATCCGAGGGCAAGTTTGCAGATGACAAAGATAGATGGAGGGTCAGGTAGTGTTGAGCAAGTGTGGAGGCTGCAGAAGGACTTGAATGAGCTAGGACAGTGGGCAAAGAAGTGCCAGATAGAATACTGTTTGGGAAAGTGAGAGGTTATGTATTTGGTAGGAAGAATACAGGCATAAGTTACTTGCTAAACGGGGAATGGCTTTGGAAGTCTGAAGCACAGAGGGATTTGGGAGTCCTCGTTCAGAATTTTCTTTAGATTAACATGCAGATTCAATTGTTGGTTAGGAATACAAATTGAATGTTGGCAATTATTTCAAGAGGGCTAGATGTACTGCTGAGACTGTGTAAGGCTCCGGTTAGACCACATTTGGTATATTGTGAGCAGTGTTGGGCCCTGTACCTAAGGCAGATATGCTGACATTGGAGAAGATTTACAGGAATGAACCTGGGGATGAAGGGCTTGTCATATGAGGAGAGTTGAGGGCTCTGGGTCTGTACACGATGGAGTTTAGAAGGATGAGGGGCTATCTGATTTGAAACTTAGGGAATACAGTAAGGCCTGGATAGAGTGGACATGGAGATGATGTTTCCATTAGTAGGAGAGACTAGGACCCGATGCCACAGCCTCAGTAAAGCGATGATCTTTTTGAACTGAGATGATTAGCAATTTCTTCATTTGTCGTGTTGTTAATCTGTGGAACTCATTGCTGCAGAGGGTTATCAAGGCCAAGGCATTGAGTGTGTTTAAGACAGAGATAGGCTTTTAATAATTAAGGGGATCAAGGGTGATGAGGAGAAGGCAGGAGAATAAGGTTGAGAAATATATAAGCCATAATCAAATGGCAGAGCAGACTCGATGGGTTGAACAGCTAATTCTGCTCCTATATCTTCTGATATTATGATTCAACAACTAAGGTCCCATGTTAAGAATCTAGGACTTTAACTGTGTAAACTTGATTCCCCTGTCTGTGCCAGAGCTTTCCTTTTAAACTTAATACCTTTGAGTTTTGTGTGTTTCATGTTGCACTGTCATTTATTAATTTTTCTCACGGTTCATGAGTAATAAAATTCTTTGTTTCACTCAAGAAAACCTGGGTAATTCTAGCAAACTGTTTTCATTGAAATTTTAAGAGAATGAAAAATATTTACTGCAACTGAGTGGAGATTAAAAAGCGAGGAGCCATAATACTGGATTTTCACCAGTCTTTGCAGGAAACCAAATATTTGAAGCCATAGGAGATGAAGGATAATTTTATAAATTTTCTTGAATTCCTTATCTTGACTAAAAATTATGAAACATTGTGCTTTGGTTATCAAATTAGTACCCTATAACCAGGCACAAAAATTGCATGAACCTTTTTTAATACTTCAACTTCTTTGACCATTTACTCCACAAAATATAATTCAAATGCAAATGATGTTTTGATTTTATTTCTTTGATTTATTATTGTCACAAGTACCAAGATACAGTGAAAAGTATTGTTCTGCATGCTATATAGGCAAATCATACCTTACATAAGTACGTTAGGGTAATAGAACAGAATGCAGAATGTAGTATGACAGCTATAGATAAGGTGCAGGGAAAGATCAACTCTAAAATATGAGAAGTCCATTCAAAAATCTGATAAGTGGGGAAGAAGTTGTTCTTGAATCTATTCATACATGTATACAAACTTTTATATCTTTTGCCAGACAGAAAAGGGTGAAAAAGAGTATAACTGGGTTGGGAGACGTCTTTGATTATGTTGGCTATTTTTCCAAGTCAGCGGGAAATATAGACAGAGTCAATGGATGAAAGGCTGGTTTGCATTTTGAACTGGGCTGCATTCACAGTTTTCTGTAATTTCTTGCGGTCTTGGGCTGAGCATTTGTCATATCACATTACAGTGCATTCAGGTTGGATGCTTTCTGTGGTGCATCTATAAAAAATGGTCATTGTGTACGTGCCCAATTTCCTTAGCCTTCTCAGGAATAGAGGCATTGGTGTGCTTTCTTGACCGTAGTGTTGACGGTCTGTAGACTGGGCCTGGACAGATTGTTGGTGATGCTTACACCTAGGACCTTGAAGCTGTCAACCATTTCCACCTTAACACCATTTGATACAGTCAGGGCAATGTCTACCACTCTGCTTCCTGAAGTCGATGACCAGCTCCTTTGTTTTGCTGACATGAGAGATTTTTATCTTCACACCATGCCACTAAGCTCGCTATCCTATTCCTGTATTCTGTCTCGTTGTTTAAGATCTGACCCATTACGATAACGTCATCAACAAATTTATAAATGGAATTACAGCAAAATTTGGCTGTGCATGAGTGTATAAGGAGTACATTAAGGGCTGAGTACACAGCCTTGCAGGGCATTAGAGTGGAGGAGCTGTTGTCGCCTACCTTTTTGGTTTGCGGTCTGTGGATCAGGAATTCAAGGATCCAATTGCAAAGGGGGAGAATGGTCCTAAGTCCCAGAGTTTGGAGATGAGTTTGGTTGGAATAATGTGTTGAAGATGGAGCTAAAGTCAATAAAAATTGGAGTCTGACGTAAGTGTGCTTGTTATCCAGATGTTCCAGGGATAAGTGTAGGGCTTGGGAGATGGCATCTGCCGTGGACCTGTTGCGACAGTGGGCAAATTGTAATGGATCAAGGCAGTCTGGGAGGCTGGAGTTGATGTGTGCCATTACTAACCTCACAAAGCACATCATAATGATGAATGTCAGAGCCATCAGGTGGTAGTCATTAAGACACGCTGCCTGAGTTTTCTTTGGCGCTAAGATGATAGCAGTCATCTTGGAGCAGATGGGAACCTCAGATCTGAGTAATAAGTGGTTAAAGATATCTGTGAGTACTTCTGCTAGCTGGTCTGCACAGGATCTGAGTGTATGACCAGGGACTCCATTCGGGCCAGTCACTTTCCATGGATTCACTCTTAAAAAGGCTGATCTGACACCTGCGGTGGTGACTATGGGTGCTGGTGCATTTGAGGCTGTTGGGCGAGGTGACAGAATTTCATTGACCTTCTGTTCAAAACAAGCATAGACTGCATTGAATTTATTGGGGCGGGTTACGTTGTTAACGATTCTACTCAACTTCACTTTGTAGCCTGTTATAGTGTATAAGCTTTGCCACAATCGATGTGTGTTTGTGTAGTTAGTCTGGGACTCTAGCTTAGTCTTGTATTGTCTCTTGGTATTCCTGATGCCTTTGCAAAGGTCATATCTAAATTTCCTGTATAGGTCAGTTAACAGTTTGTGCTGGGTGTATATTAGAAAAATGTTGATCCTTAAATAAAAGTAAATAAAGCTAAAACAAAATTCAGAAGTATAGCAAAGCAAGCTTCTAACATTTTAAAAAACTTCCTCAATCATTGCACTAAGTTTTATACTATCAATAAGGGGAATGACGTTGTAGCATGAACAATTGTGAATTGTTTTCGTCGAATTTAATTTTTACAGGATGGATCTTGAGATTCTAATATTCGTCAGAAGATGTTTTGTTTTGTTCAGCGTTCAGAGAATATATCTTTCCTTGAGAGGATGGAACAGTAGTTAAAATAGCTCTTACATCTACGTATCAGTATTAATGTACTTGCAGCAAAAGATAGTAATCAGGTAGGATGAAGTTGGAAGCAATGTGATTCTTTCTTTCACTGTTTATTCCACCTCTTTTTCTTCAAAATGATCACTTTTGGTTCACAGACAGAGCAATGCTGTCAGAATTCTTGTGTGCTTGGGAGGCTGTTAGAACATTGCACCTGGTGCCTCAACACTACTCGGCAACTTTCAGTTTAAGGTCAATTTAAATAAATAGATTGCAATATTTAATATTTTGCCTTTGTAATTTTAGGTTCCCAAATAATGCCAACCAACATGCCCCCTCCTCGTACACTACCTCAGCGTTCGTGGGCTGCATCAATACCCACCATCTTGACTCATAATGCCTTGCACATTCTACTTTGTCCATCACCAACTCCGGGTCTTGTCCCAGGATTGGCTGGTAGTTATCTGTGCTCCCCACTAGAGCGATTCTTAGGATCTGTTATGATGAGACGGCATCTGCAAAGGATCATACAACAGGAACCGGTAGGAGGATATATATATTCCACATTAAAAACAACAAATGCTGTAATAATATGCCAAACTGTTCAGCTTTTTGTTTTGGGGAATGTGGAGAGTCAAAAATAAATAATGGTTTGTTTTCTGTTTCAAATTGCCACATTTTGGATTATTTTGTTTTCATCACTTTGAAATGATCTTATCCATTGTTTGAAAAATTGTTGCATTGTGTTCATGAGACTTTTTTAGAAACTGATTTAACTGTTTTCATAAAACTAGTTACAAAGTTTAATTGTAGCAATTCTAATTGCCTCATTGGATACAGTCTCCAGAGAATGTAGTTATGATTTCTTGATCAGATATTTTAAAACTGGCTTTTAATTATAAATTCTGTCTGATTTTTAGTTGCAGCTTATAAATTCCAATGAACCTGGTGTGATCATGTTTAAGACTGAAGCGTTGAAGTGTCGAGTAGCACTGAACCCACAGACATATCAAACTTTGCAGTTCAAAGTAACACCTGAAACACCAGACCCGTGGACACAAGAAGAACTACAAGTTTTAGAAAAATTCTTTGAAACAAGAGTAAGTATGTTAGTGATGCAATTCAACTTGTAAATTATCTATTGTGCAAACAAATGTCTTATTACAGAAGAACTTTCCAAGTTGTATGCCTCCTATTATTCTATAATGCACGGCCACGCAAAGTGAAGTCACCGTAGTCTTAGCAGATCGTTATTAGGCAGAGGGACAACTGGTGTTGGCTTAATCTGAGGGTCACCACTTCTGAGGCGAGGGGCGGTGTTCAGAAGGAGAGTCCTTCATGGTAACCTAAGCCAATGTGGGAATTGAACCACGCTGTTGACATCGCTCTGCATCCCAAACCAGTTGTCCAGCTAACTTAGCTAATTAGTCATCTATAAGGCCAAGTATTACGATAACAGTAATAATTAGCTGTCAAATTTTAACTTCCGTTATTTGATTGACATACCTAATACCTTTCATGGACTAAGGTTGCTTTTAAAAGGGAAGAAACACGCAACTAAAATGGCTTCAAGAGTCACCTGGCAACAGATTGAAACTTCATGAGACCTGCGTGTAACTTTTCATCAAAAACATCAAAATCAAGCAACGGAGTCCGTGTCAAAACATTTGCATCAGTTGTTTTATTTCCCATCAAAATCCATCATCCCAAATAGTTATTGTGTTCTCATGCCTGTACCTTGAAAAGGCTAATTAAATTTGACATAATGAGAGATGAAAGGTTTGCTTGCCAGTCAGCTTCAAAGGAAAGTGGAGCTAAACTAAATTTCAGTTGCTTTTGCCCTGCAGAGAAGGGAGAAGGAGAAATGGATTTGTTTGTTAAATCTGGATGCCTCACTCACTCTTCCAGCAGGTTATGATGATATTCTTACCTTTACTTTTTAGGAAAATTATGAAGGTTTGAAAGGAGAGGTCATGCATGAAGTTTTCATTTCCCATCAAAATCCATCATCCAAATAGTTATTGTGTTCTCATGCCTGCACCTTGAAAACGTTAATTAGATCGTTTATGCATTTTAAATTGGTGATTGTTAAAACCATTTTCCATAAATATTGAGCCAGATAGTTGAAACAAATCACAGTAAATATGGAAACTATTTCTATCACTTAGCATGGTTACATTTATTATTGTTATAAAGCTCTACTGCAATATGATTAATAGCTTCTTTTTGTTTTGGTTAAGGTTGCTGGACCCCCATTTAAAGCCAATACACTAAATGCCTTTGCTAAGCTATTGGGAGCTCCAACACACATTCTCAGGGATTGTGTGCGCATCATGAAACTGGAACTGGTAAGTGACACTGTAATACTGTCTGTGACATTGAAGTGGAGGGGATGGGAGAGTAGCAGAAGACACGTGTGGAGGTGGGTAATGGTGACAGTCAATTATTGAGGATTAGAGCTTCAAAATTGGAGGCGAGGATGTGGCTGAGCAGAGGAGTAGTTATTGTGGCAATATGACTAAGCAACTGAGGTTTTGGTGGTGCAGTTTTAAGTAAAATGACGGATAGCTGTTCTGGGAATAAATTCAGAACAAGGACACTCCCAACTCATGTCTCATGTTCAAGACCGAGCACAGGGACCATTTACTCAATGGCATAAAAGTTCTCATAGGTTGTCTAAGTGTTTAATTTTCTTTTTGATTTTTTTTGATGAAATATTTGATCTGTATATTTGAATAGTGCAACATATGAAGTAGCTCAGTCTAATTATGATTAATAGTCTCCTCAAAGCATTTTAACCCTTTTGGATTTCCATTAAATCATGTTTTGGTTCCACAAAAAATAGCACTGCTGGCTTAAGAATTATGTTGTTAATCACAGTCCATCTTTAAGATATAAGATGCTGCTATTAGTAACATTGCCCATCATCCAGTTTAGCTTAATTGGGACTCACTTATCTACTTCTAATCAAATTATCATGCCAATTTTGCTATAGAAAAGTGTGACTGCATCAAATTATCTTGACAAAGTAATGCTTTGTATAACTTCCATGAAAATACTTTTTGGTGATCTGTTAATGTTTCCTTGAAGTTTATACATTTTTCAGGTAGAAAATCATGCTGGAAAGCATCAGAATGCCAAAACCAATTTCATAAATAAAAACCAAAAGAACTGCGGATGCTGTAAATCAGGAACAAAAACAAAATTGCTGGAAAAGCTCAGCAGGTCTGGCAGCATCTGTGGAGGAGAAAACAGAGTTAACGTTTCTGGTCTGGTGACCCTTCCTCAGAACTGATGGTGGCTGGGAAAACGTCAGTTTATATGCAGAAAATAGGGAGGTGGGTGGGGTAGGGAGTAAACGGTAGGATAAAGCCCGAAGAGAGAAAAAGACAGTTGGACAGACAAAGGAGTTGCTAAAGCTTCCAGTTCACTGGCTGCAGCCACCTCCTCTTTACCATGGATGTGCAATCCCTTTACACATCCATTCCCCACCAGGAGGGTCTTAGGGCTCTCCGTTCCTTCCTAGAGCAAAGACCTGAACCATCCCCACCCACCACCACCCTCCTCCACTTGGCTGAGCTTGTCCTTACCCTCAACAACTTCTCTTTCAACTCCTCTCATTTTCTTCAGGTAAGAGGGGTTGCCATGGGTACCCCCATGGGCCCTAGTTATGCCTGTCTCTTTGTGGGGTACGTGGAACATTCCTTGTTCCAGTCCTATTCCGGCCCCCTCTTTCTCTGATACATCGATGATATCATCGGTGCTGCTTCCCTCTCTCGTCTGGAATTGGAAAACTTCATCAATTTCGCCTCCAATTTCCACCCTGCCCTCACTTTCACCTGGTCTATCTCTGACTCCTCCCTTCCCTTCCTCGACATTTCTGTTTCCATTTCTGGGGATAGACTGGCCACTAATATCCATTACAAACCCACTGACTCCCACAGCTACCTGGACTATACATCCTCACACCCCATTTCCTGTAAAGACTCCATCCCATTCTCTCAGTTCTTCTGTCTCCGTCGCATATGTTCAGATGAGGCCGACTTCAACAACGGAGCCTCCGAAATGTCCACATTCTTCCTCAACCGAGGATTCCCCAGCTCTGTTGTTGACAGGGCTCTCGATCGGGTCCAACCCATCTCCCGCACTTCTGCCCTCACCCTTCTCTTCCCTCCCGCAACAGCGATAGGGTTCCCCTTATCCTCACCTACCATCCCACCAGCATCCACATCCAGAAGATCATCCGACGTCATTTCCGCCACCTCCAGCAAGATGCCACCACCAGACACATATTCCCCTCCCCTCCCTTGTCCGCCTTCTGCAGGGATCGTTCCCTCCGGGACACCCTAGTCCACACTTCCTTCACCCCCAACACCTCCCCACAGCCCTATGGCACCTTCCCCTGTAACTGGCGAAGGTGCAACACCTGCGCATTTACCTCCTCCCTCCCCAGAATCCAAGGGCCCAGACATACCTTCCAGGTGAAGCAACACTTCACCTGCACTTCCAAGAAACTAGTCTACTGCATTCTCTGCTCACAATATGGTCTCCTCTACATTGGGGAAACGAAGCGTAGACTTGGCGACCGCTTCACAGAACATCTACATTCTGCTTGCAAAAAAGACCCTGAACTACCCATTGCCTGCCACTTTAACACACCACCCTGCTCCCTGGCCAACATGTCTGTCTCCGGCTTGCTACAGTGTTCCAGTGAAGCCCAATGCAAGCTGGAGGAACAACACCTCGTTTTCTGCTTGGGGACCCTACAGCCCTCCGGACTCCATATTGAGTTCAATAATTTTAGGGCCTAAACTCTCCCATGTCCCAGCCCCCCACCCCACACACCAGACCTTGTTACCACATAGCCTGCCACTACACACCCCCTGTTGTTAGTCGCTAACAGTCCCCATTTACAACTATTCACCCTCCAAGCCTGATCGTTAGCAACTCTTTTGTCTGTCCAACTGTCTTTCTGTCTCTTTGGGCTGTATCCTATCGTTTACTCCCTATCCCACCCATCTCCCTATTTTCTGCATATAAACTGACGTTTTCCCAGCCACCACCAGTTCTGAGGAAGGGTCACCAGACCCGAAACGTTAACTCTGTTTTCTCTTCCACCGATGCTGCCAGACCTGCTGAGCTTTTCCAGCAACTTTGTTTTTTAAAACCAATTTCACCTTGGTTTAACATTTCTATAAATCACGCTTTGTTTTGTTGTGAACAGTTTCCAGATCAAGCCACTCAGCTAAGGTGGAACGTGCAGTTCTGTTTGACAATCCCACCTAGTGCTCCTCCAATAGCTCCTCCAGGAACACCTGCAGTGGTGCTGAAATCCAAGATGCTGTTCTTTGTAAGTAGTACACTCCTATTTGTTGGAATGTACTGAGTTGAAGATCATGAAATTGTAACTTATTAAATGTAAGGGACTGTTGGGACTGGAGGCAAACGTGTGTGTGTGTGTGTGTGTGTGTGTGTGTCCATGTCCGCGCAATGGTCCTTCAAGGATGTTGCTACCAACAATAGAGTGAACCAAAGTTCATCATAGGTGATGCAGAATAACAAGTGATGGATACTGTTGCATATCAAGTTTAACGTATCCTGTTTCTAGAAGTGTTCTATTGTTCATTTCCTCTATCATTGTTGATTCATCTATCTGTTGCACCTGGCCTTTCAACTGATCTAATGTGTCAACTTAATGTTCTTTGGCATACTATTAGTGTCTGATGCTAATGTTTCCTATAAATTAGTAATTAATTTTGCATTGCTTCAAGTGAATCTTCAGTGTGTCCATGTAATGCCTTTGTTTTTTGCATTATTTTGTTTTATCTTATACTGGGTCTCCACAAAATCTATTTACATTGATAAACTTGCATCATTCATGCTAGCCTATCTAGCCCAACAGAGTTGATCACTGAATATCATAGCTTTTGAAATGATGCCATCAGCAAATTCAGGTACTTCATAGTTAGTAATGTTGATCTGCCATCTAAAAAGAAACATGTTGTAATTGTATCTTTGCTGAAATATTTCTAGCTGTTGAATGTTAAGTGTACACTTTTTATTAACTATCCATGTTTCATATCAGAAATGAGATTTGTATGGACAACTCCATTCTAATACTTCAGTTTAGTGGCAATTTCGTTGCTATGTGCTGATGTCAAAGACAACATGCACAAAAAAAAAGTACAGCACAGAAAGAGGCCATGCGACCCTACTTATGCATGTCAGCATTTATACTCCCCTAACTATCAAAAGTGGTGTCTGTTCTCTGTTCTCTGTATGCAAGTCGTGAATTCCTTTACAGTCCTTGCAGTAAATTAATAATACAGTTTCAAGGTGTGAACTCCTTTCTCACATGCTATATTCAGTTATACCAATGGTGATTGCTGATCTTAACATGTAACTTTCTAAGAGTTGACTGATGCATTTTTTTGTCTCTGGCTAATGGTAAGCACAACTCTCAGCAAGAAACTCAAGAGTATTTACTAACAGAAAGTCCACTTTGAAATGTGCCACAATTGTGCAGTCATCAGTGTGCAAAATTCATCTAATTTTTATTTGTTTGAGGACTGTCATTGATATTCGGTGTTGTTAGATTTGACATTATTGTATTGTGCATATTTATGTCCAAAATCCAAGTTGGAGATCCCTAGCTGTATCATCTAGTGTAGCTGCAAAAGAATGATTAAAACAAGGCACATGACCTGTCTGTATTTCATGCCATGCAATACTAGAAGCAGTTCAAAAGTGAAATAATGAACACAATACAGATGCTATTATTGAAATAAATGGAAGAAAATTATGCTTAAATTGGTTTTTGAAATGTGTTTATGAAACTAAAGTTTCACACTCTCACATCTTTTGTCTGTTCCTTTCACCCAACCAACCAACCTGTCAAAAGCTGCAACTCACTCAGCGACTAACAGTTCCACAAGAACCAATTAGCATAATTGTGCCAATTGTCTACGATATGGCAACAGGGGCAACACAGCAAGCTGATATTCCAAGGCCACAGAACACGTCTGGAGCAGCTGCCTCAATGGTGAGCAACATCTTGAGGAGGTTTTCAGAGGTGCACCAGCCACCACAAGGTAAACCAAAAGAAAATCATTTTGCAGGATATTTGTTTGCCATCATCTCATCATTTATTACAAAGTGCGCAAAATGTAAAAAGCCACAGTAAATGTAACAATATTGGAACAGTGAAAAGTGTTTTTATTTAGAAATCTAGATTTTGTACGTAAGCTCAGGCATGTTACCAATGTCTATGTTGCTTCTCTGCTTTTCATCTCATCCTCAACTGGCTGTTAAGATTCAATTTTGAAATGAGTTTGGACAGTTTCTAACAGGCACATTGGCCCAAATTTTGGGACTAATTGACTAATAAAATTAAAATCTCTGTAGAAGATGACCACAGTTCATATGAGAACTAGTGAAAAATTTTCTGCCAGTGTAGAGAGCACTTTTGCAAAGATTAAATGCTGTATTTGACGTTTGGACTAATAACATTAGTTCACTGCTTTGGAGAATATCCTGTCTAAAAGCACTAAAGTATCCTTCAAAATGCAGTAAATATTAACTAAGATATATTTTTAGTTTTAAATTTGCTCGTAAATCAAATTTACCTTACCAGAGCTTCCCTATATGGCTATCTGGTGGATAAAGGAAAGGAGAGTTCAAATTTTGGATCTCCAAATGGAATCCAGTACTGTGTTGCTTCAGATTTCTGGGCCAGCCTTTTTTTTTTTTGCTTGTTAAGTTTTTTGTATGATAAATCTTGGTTCTCCCGCACTGCTGCAAAACTGTACCTGACATTTTAGTGAGAAGCCCCCTTTTTTTGGTTTTATTTTTGATTGATTGAATTGGGAAAAAGGCTGTTTTTCAACCAAGGACTGTTATTTTTAAAAAGCAAGTTACTTAACTCTATTGTGGATCATATTTCCACTGTTGCTTGGCAAACAGTGAGGAATGGTGCAAAAGGACACAACGTGCACCAAGATGTGTATACAAAGTAAGATTCAGAGAGCAACAAATTGCTGCTGGCTTGTGTAGCTATTGTGGATGCCAAAGGTTATCAGCTGTCCCCTCTTTTCCTAAAGAAACTCTGTTGTTTGCTCCCACCAGTAGCTACAAGGTGTTAGTTTTAACCAATTAGTGAGAGACTTCATTATTCATGCCACTCTGCCTTCTGTGCAGAGTGCAATAATCTGAAGGAAAAGAACATCAAATTCTGAGGACTGGTGCTACTGAACTGTTTCTCCAGCATTTTATTTCATCCACCTATAATGCCAATTTGTTTCTTTCTGTCTATGATACTCTGTGTATGGGGTTTTTTAGAACAGGGTTAGAGTTTATCTGCTTGAGTCATATGTTGTGTTTGGTTATTTACCTGTGGTAATTGAATCTATTTATTTATAATAGTTCTTGTTAAGTACAGGAACCTGGTCTGTTTTTTCTGTTAGCCTGAGTCTATCAAACAAGTAAACTGGGGACTCTGCATACCTTGATAAAACGTTTGAACTTGCGTGACACGTCCAGGAATAGCAGGCCTTGATTTCCAGTATGTTGCCCAATGAAGCATCACATGTTAAAGAGTACATTTCATCTTAAAACAAAAGCCTGTTTGTTGTCAGTATTTGTTCCATGAAGGTGGTGGTGCAGTGGTAACGTTGCTAAACTAGATTTTAGTTCCAGATTTCTAAGTAGAATATAAATTCCATGAACTTCCTTAATGGGATTTGAATGAGTGGCCCTACAGCATTAGCCTACACCTCTTCTGAACTAACAACTTTGAACCTTCCATTCTAAAGGTTCAAATGGAAACAAATTACCTTAATGTGCTCACTCTCTATCATAAACCCAATGACATAAGCATCTTATCCATTAATACAAAGAGGGTTCCCCCAAAAACTGGAATGAAGTCATGTCTTTTCTTGGAACTGATGTATTTAAGTCACTGTTTCAAATTGACTTTCTTAAAATAAACCTTCACAGAACTTACCCGCATTTATTTACTTCTGATTTAATATCTAAATCCCAAAAATATAGTATACGTATATAACACCTTCCATAACACAAGTTACAGCCAAGCTTTGAAAATGCTTTGGGTCGGCACGGTGGCACAGTGGTTAGCACTGCTGCCTCACAGCACCAGGCACCCTGGGTTCGATTCCACCCTCAGGTGACTGTCTGTGTGGAGTTTGCACATTCTCCCCGTGTCTGCGTGGGTTTCCTTCGGGTGCTCTGGTTTCCTCCCACAAACCAAAGATGTGCAGGCTAGGTGGATTGGCCATTGCTAAATTGCCCATAGTATTCAGGGATGTGTAGATTAGGTGGGTTATAGGAGGTGGGTCTGGGTGATATGCTCTGAGCATCGGTGTGGACTTGTTGAGCCAAAAGGCCTGTTTCCACACTGTAGGGATTCTATGATTCTAAAATGCCAGACAATGACCATCTGTACAAAACAAACCTAATTATCTCTGTAATGTTCAAACGGCATAGTCATAGAGTTGCGTAGCATGAAAACAGACCCAAAGCCCAACGCGTCTAACCAGATATCTTAAATTAATCTAGTCCCATTTGCCAATATTTGCCCGTATCCCCCTCAACCCTTCCTATTCATATACCCATCCAGATGCCTTTTAAATGTTGTAATTTGTACCAGCCTCTACCACTTCCTCTGGCAGCTGATTCCATACTTGCACCACCTTCTGCATGAAAAGGTTGCCCCTAAGGTCCCTTTTATATCTTTCCCCTCTCTAACCTTAAATCTACGCCCTCAAAGTTTTGGGCTCCTCCCACCCTGGGAAAAAGGCCTTGGCTATTCACCCTATCCATGCCCCTCATGATTTATACACCTCTGTAAGGTCAACCTCCAACACCCCAGAAAAAATAGCCCCAGCCTATTCAGCCTGTCCCTATAGCTCAAACTTTCCAACCCTGGCAATATTCTCAAATCTTTTCTGAACCCTTTCAAGTTTCACAAATTCCTTCCTAATGCAGGCAGACCAGAATTGAACACACTATTCCAAAAATGGCCTAACCAATGTCCTGTACAACCGCAACATGACATCTCAACTCCTACATTCAATGCACTGAACAATAAAGGCATGCGTACCAAACACCATCTTGACTACCCTGTCTACTTGTGACTCCACCTTCAAGGAACTATGGAAAATACACCTCAAGGTCTCTTTGCCATTATTGAACCCTTTATCAGCAACACCCTGGAAATTACCAGGAGCTTAACTAGAGGCCACAAAGTACTGTACAGGTAAGCTGTAGGTAGTACTGTAGTGTGTAACTCACCTTGAAGCCTGTCCATCTGCAAGAAACTAGTTAGAAGCATATTTAAAAACTCCCCACTTGCCTCTATGTGAAGTTAAAACAACACTCAAGCTTAACACCATCCAGGACAAATTGGTACCTTAACACTTTGAGCATTCACTCCCTTCACCACTGGCACACTGCAACAACTCACCAAAGCTCCTTCAATAGCACCGTCCAAATTCTCAAATTCTACCACTTGGAAAGATAAGCAGATTATGCATGGGAGCACTACCGCCTGCATATCCCCCTTCAAGCCACACACTGTACTAACTTTGAAATAAGTTGCCTTTCCTTCACTGTTGCTGAGTCAAAAATCCTAAACTCCTTTTCTAACTGTGAATGTATCTCCACTGCGTTCACTGCTCAGGTTGAAGAAGGTGACTCTCCACCACTTTTACCAAGCACAATTGGGGATGGGAAGAAATGCTAGTGCAGCTAGTGTTGCCTACATCCCATGAAAGAACAAAAAACTTATTGTTATCTTAATCTAGTGAACTTGGTTATTTACCTCACCACTTTTTAAAAAAAAACTTGTTAATTTTTCAGGTGACTGCACAATCTATGCAGCAGTGAGGGATTTGATGGCAAATCTAACACTGCCCCCTGGGGGTCGACAGTAACACTACAGACTGCCTTAGGGTGTCCTTCATGTGGAGAAAAGGATTGATTACAACATCATTCGGTGGACAGTATGTGATGCAAAATAAAATTAATTATCAAAATCATGCTCCAATGTGACTTGAGAGCATGATATAATTTATTCTTCAGGGATGAACTTCTTCCATTAGAAGATACATTCATTACTTTGTTTACCTGCTGTTATATAGTGTATTTTATAAACTGCATTTCAAACAAATATAAATCCCAAAAAATTCCTGTTTGGTTGATTTAGATTTAACCATAGTATAGTATTTACAAGAAGATCATTAGATTATGATGATGCCAAGAATATTTTTTAGAGAATGCAAATCTGTCAATTTTCACATGTTCTGACATAATAGCTTGAGTTTTATTAATTTTCAAACTCATTTGTTATATTGGTTGTTGTAAATTGTGAAACTTTAATGGAGCTGTATTTTATTATGACTGCTTTAAATCTTTACATAAAATTTGAGTTCTTTGGTCATATTGCCTCAGAAATATTTAATAAACGAGCAAATAAAACCACCATACCATGTAACAACTTATTCAAACAACATTGATAATATGTGCAGTTAGATGCAACAGCACAATTTTGGTTGCATAATTCTGATAAATACTTCCCCCTTCATTGTCTTTTCTGAAAATGTTCCACGTGTTAAGGTAAGTATTTCTGTTTTATTTGCATTGCTACCTTGCTTAACGGCAACTTTGATAGGTACAACTCCAAAACAATTAATTTATTTTGGTGGGGTGATGTTTAAAAGGCTGCTTATCAAGTTTTTTTTAAAACTTTTAAAGTTGTATTTCTTTGTTCTAAACATAGCCATTGAAGTTATTTTAGATACCTCTGACATATTGTATCTTAAAGATAACTCTGAATTGCTTGATGTTCATTGTGTTGCTTTTGCTTTAAGCAACATCGTCAATTTGCCCCATTCTCCAATCTCAGCATTGTTTCTTTATTCCTGCTATTCTACACACAATCCATTTTTCAGTCTTTTTCCACTGTCTTTGAAAGTTGTGCTCCTTTCAGTCCCTATGTCTTTAGCTCTCCACCTTTCATCTTTCCTAGTTTTTTGTTTCCATCCCAAAAAAACCCTTTACTTCCATCATCACTAGTCATCAGACTATCTTCTCTTCCTTTCAACCCAGGCTTGAGTCCTCAATCAAACTAATCTGTCATTTCTTTTGTCTCTCAGCATACTGACCCATTGTGGCACTTTTGATTGCCTTGAGGAGCAATCTCAATGTCCTATGCTCCATTCTTGGTGTCCTCTCTTTGCTCCATCCTACTCTCCCCACCACATGCTTGTTGGAGTCAGCATCATCAACCTCCTTCCCAGAGACACATGTTGCAACATATTAGTCTTGGTTGGTGGATGAACAATCAACACAATTTACAACCGTTTCCTCTAGAGCATTAAATTGCTTATCATGGACCTGGCTCCTGTTCTTATTGGGAATGATCATATTGATACTCTGTCTTGGTCTTTGACAAAAACTTGATCTATAGTTATCACTTGTCCCTATTACTGAAAGTGGCTCACCTGACAACTTTTTAGGTGGTGTAAAGTATCCATATATTTTGATACCAAATTGAAATTTATATTTCTATTTCTATGGAATATCATCTTGTAAACATTCCTGCCTTTCCAGAGTGACATGCACACAGTAGATATCAAGTATGAGATTTGAAAGAAGTGCTCTGGATTGGGGCGGTGACAATTGAAGAGAACTTTAGGACAGTGGGTGACAAAGATGGAGTAACTGGGGAATGTATTCCAGAAGACTAACCATAGCAACAAAAGTAGGAGAATGCTTCTAAGGATAGAGGAAATTTATGAGTGACTTTGAAGTTAAGGATTTGGATAATAAAGTCAAGACAGAACACTAGATGCTGGCAAACTGAAACTAAAACTACCTGAAACTCTCAGCAGGTCATACAGAATTTGCAAAGAGAACAAGATAGCTTTTTTTCAGGTCTGAGCCTTTCCTCAGAATTGGAAACTCTTAAAGATGAGTGCCTCTAAAAATAACAAATAGATTAAAAGCCATGGGTGGACGTGGGAGACAACACTCACTAACAAACCCACATAGGCAAGAAATACTGACATTTGAGACATAGGAATTCAGGATGATGTGGTAAGGCATGTGGAAGTGGAATGATGAACAAAATGATGAGCTCACTTTGTTATCTGAAAATCAAATTCCAAAGACAGAATTGGCCAGAAAGTTTAAGTGGAAAGTGGCAAGGAGCTTGGTATCACATTCACTAAGAAAATGAAGCCATTGAGAAAAATCATCATTTTTCATAAAGAAAAATCATCATTGAAGACATTTTGGTCTTCCTTTTTTTTTCCCCAGGGGAACACCTTAATTGATAAAATCCAGTATACATACAAATTGCTGTCTCATTGGGAAAGTACTGTATGAATCCCTTGACAATGACAGTGTGGAAAGGTATGTTTAGACAGATGCTGCATTTGCTGGGCCTATTAAAAAAGTGACAGGTAGTTGGTAAAAGAACAAAGCAAAATGTCACTGAGAAGGTAATACTTGTCTTTTGGCAGAAAATATGTGCAAACAGAAAATTATATATTAAATGCAGAGGAAAGTGAGGACAAAGTGATCCTCGACAGTAAATTAGGGACCGAAGTGTAGAAAGTCCTTGACTGGAAAAAGAAATTTTCAGACACAAGCTTCTGTGTTCCACCTAAATTCAAACTTGACTAAAAGGGGACCATAGAGGTGAGGGTGCAGACAGCAGCATTTTGAATGAGCTGTTGTTTGTAATGGGGGAAGATTGTCAGCAAGAACAGAATTTGATCATCATGAAGCATATGTAAAGTACTTTTTCAGGTGTTGAATATATTGGCCCAGATGATATGGTAGTACTTTTGAAGATGACACTCGGCATTCACTATTGTCATTCCTTTTGAAATTGACAACAGCTGCTGGGATCTACACATGTATAATTCAGTGCAGAAATATGCCCCGTAACCCTTGCCCCAACTGGTTGCGATCAGGTAAAAACCAATAAATAGAAAAAAAAAACTTAAGTTTTGCACCAGTGGTCTCAGTATTTTTAATCTTGAAAAATTACACCTTGTTATGAGCTGTCACTGGATTTTTAATGGCGTACCTATTCCATAATTACTGCTAAACTGCTTCATTGTCCCTGAGAAATGATTATATTTGTATTATGTCAAATTTGTCCGTAATAATAAAAATTTCAATTTGCTAATTTTAAAATTTCATTTATGATCTTTCAGATTTTACATAATCCTATTTGTATGTCCCATCATTTATTATGGTCTGTAAAGCTTTTAATGAATAGTGAAAAGTTAAATGTGTTTTACTTCCTGGTTTTCTGATCAAGAATATTTTAATGGGATTAGCAGTTTATTCTATTCTATGACATTATTGTTACACACCTGGAGATCCTCTTGACTTGACACCAGATTCAAACTGATGTTGAAAAAGCATCAATTCATGCTACAATTATGCTGCTAACTCTGAAATCCACTATTGTTTACAATTAAAATCCTTGTGAAAATTATGGTTAGCACTTTTCATGGAAAAATTTCAATAAAATGGGTTTTTTCAATATCTACATTTTTTAATTGAATGACTTTTTGTTGTATACCTTTCTTTGCCCAGAAAAATGACCCTAATAAATCTTGCATATATTGAAGGAAAAAAATCTAAATTTTTCTAGGAAATCTTGTACGATTTTTAAAAAAATGTTCTATTCTAAAATTGCTATTTTTTAAAATTGTTTCTGAACAAAACTTTTATACTCTTTATTTTTAAATACAGCAGATAAGACTTTGTGGGGAAAAAAATTAGGAAAGTAATATATGTGACATTTAGAGTGGAATAAAACTTTGATTTCATGGTCAAAAGAAATGAAAAAGCATCAGCTGCCCACAAATCTATGAATATGTGGTATGGATTTTCACTTTCTTAACATCTGTTTGAATGTCATTCTCCACTGGTCAACTGTGGTTCCCAATTTTAATTAATAATACTTCCCCACCTTAGCAACATCTATTCAAATTTAAAATTGACTAATGTAAAAGCAGAAGCAGTTCTTAAATGTTGATGTTTTCATTTAAATTACAATTTTTCAAATCACTTTTTAGAAGTATCCATATTTATTTGTATGGCTATTCCTTTTGGTGTACCTCAATTTTAAAATAAATATTTGTGTTTAACTTGCTAACTTCTTATTTCTGCAGTTATTTCAAGTTACCAAATGTATCTGAATGTCATTTTTGAACAACAGGGAGTAATGAACCAATTTGAACAGACTTGCAGTTTGAGATAGTAATAAATAAAAGATGATATCATATGGCATTATAATTCAGACAATCTACCTTGAAGAATGAAATGTTCTGTCTTAGAAAAATATTCCTAAAATTGATGCATTGTAAACATTTTGAATGGAAATTGCTGATAAGCAGGGAGGGCAGCAACAACAGGGGGTGGGGATGGAGGAAGATAGAGGACAGAAGACATGTCAGAGGGCTGGGGCTTCAGAGGAGGTGGACTGAAGGGGGAACAACATTAAGAAAAGAGGGTGACAGGCAGAGAGGATAGGGGATGTGGACAGGACGGGGAATGGGTGCAAGGGGAGAGGGTGGAACGAGGGTTTGTGGGGGAGGGTGCATTAGAGGGGGAGAAGGATGAGGTATGACCTTGTGCATATGACTGTGTTCTGAATGTTATTTCGCTGGTCTGTGATACAGCTCCCCAATTTTGACTGAAGCCTCCAGATGTTGTTTGCCATTGTCATTTCTGGTGCCTTGGTCAATGCGGTTTGTCCATCCAGTCTCATTATTTTTTTCACATAAAATTAGTTTGTTACAATGGAATAGCTTGCTGTGTCTTTTCAGAAGACCTTTGAGACAACACTGCTGTGAACACACAGGCCGCTTCAGATAAGGTCAGTGAATTTCTTTCTCTGACCTACAGTAATTTAATGATCACCCTTAGCCTAGATTTGCTACTTGACTGCAGTATGTGTATTCTGCCTATTAGGAACAACCAAAGGAATACGCTGGTTCAATTCATCAGCCAAACGCAGTCCTCCATCCTAAAAGTTGCTTCTTTTTCTCATGCACCAATATTAAAGCTCCTGAATACAGTCGTACAGCACAGAAACAGACCCTTTGGTCCAATTCGTCCATGCTGACCAGATAACCTAAATTAATCTAGTGCCATTTGCCAGCATTTAGCCTGTATCCCTCTTAAACCCTTCCTAGTCATATACTCATCCAGGTGCCTTTTAAATGTTGTAATTGTACCAGCCTCCTCCACCTCCTCTGGCAGCCCACCATACACACACCATCCTCTGCATGAAAATGTTGCCCCTTCGATCCCAATCTTTCTCCTCTCACCTTAAACCTGTGCCTCTAGTTTTGGACTCCACTGCCCTGAAGAAAAGACCTTTGGTATTCACCCTATCTACGCCTCTCATGATTTTATTAACCTCTATAGAGGTCACCCCTCAGCCTCCAACGCTCCAGGTAAAATTGCCCCAGCCTATTCAGCCCCTCCCCATAGGTCAAACCCTCCAACCCTGGCGATATCCTTGTAAATCTTTTCTGCAATGTTTCAAGTTTAACAACATCTTTCCTATAGCAGCGAGACCAGAATTGAATGCAGTATTCCTGACTGATCTTTGCCTGAATCAACTTGCGATAACGCAGCAGTAACATGCATAAAAGAGACTTTTCTTGCAGAATCACAAAAATACAATAAAGCAATCAAAAATTAGAGTTCAGCAACAGTAATGAATTGGTTCAGTAAAAGTTTGGCTGATGAGGAATGTGCTTAGTTTGTGAATCTCCAAGGTTCCAACGAAACACCAGCGAGACTAAAGCTCCACTTGCCAAAGAAAACAAACAACAGTGGCTGGCAGAGAGGACAAGGGATGAAATAAAACTAAAAGTGAAAGCAGCCAGAAGTGTTTTTAAAAAAAGAAAGAGCCTGGTGCCATGGAGAGATATGAAAAACAACCACTAGTGATAAAATAGATTTTAGGAGCTGCAAAAATGGAATATGAAGATGAATTTGAGGGATATCAAAATCATTTTTAAAAACATTGCATTAGGAAACAGAGGGCAATTAAGAGCAATGTGGGTTTTGATAATGGTTATATAAAGTATACAAAATATAAAGTATATAAAATAAGGAAGGCAGACACAGTGATGATTATGGCACATCAGCATCTAAAAGTAGAAGTTGACAAGAGTATGTGGGACATTCCAAAGAAATGGAGACTCCCCAAAATTCACTGAAGCCAAATAACATTAAAGTAGTCTATAATCTAAAGTAGACAGAACTGATTACAAGACATAAGTTACCAGGTGTTTTTCATAAGACTAAATACTGTTGAACAGGTATCTATTGCATTCTGAGAACTAATTTCCAGCAGCTGCTGTGTATAACTGATGATTATTTTTGTCTGCAGTATTTTGAATTCATTACACATGGCAAACATTGTACTAATTAGCTCCCCGCTTATCCACTTATCTAGGATGAGATTGTTTAAACTTCTACACAGAAATCACCAACAACTCTAGTCAACATTAGGAGAAAATGTACCCTGTAGAGCAAAGGACTGGGAAAGTAACGCTTGGGAGGGAAATGTGAGAACATCTCAGTTGCAACTAGCACTTCCATGACAATCCTCAACACAAAATTACCAAAACAGAGTTTCAAAGTTGCACAAAAATATTAACTTTTGGCAGTGTGTACCTAAATCCCCACCTCTAATCGCTTGATTTTCCACGTTATCCACTGAATTTCCATTTTCCAATAAAGGTTACGTTTTTCCAAAAAGGTTATATCAAACTTGAAACGTTAACTTAGTAGGTCTAGCAGCATCGGAGACTGCTTTTAGCCAGCACTTTTTTTTATTTCCAGTTGCAGCCATCATCTCGAACTGTTGGTTTTGATGTGGAGGTACTAGGGTGGACAAAATCAGAAGTCACACGCAATCATAAGGTTTATTTGAAATCACAGCGCTGCTCCTTCGTCAGGTGGTGACTTTGTCGTTTTTGAAATCGCAATGTCCTGTACTGAGACACTCGGCCCACTTCCACGCCAAGCTCAGTTGCAGTGCCTGGTGTGTTTTTTATTGTGTGTAAAATAAAATCAATAAATGTGAGGGACATAGTAGAAAGAAGAACAAGAACAACATATTGCACAAAAACCAAGGATGGCAGGCTGAGCGGTAACGTACAGCGTAAGAAGGGAGAAATGGGGAGGGCTAATTTTCATCTCATCTGCTGAGTGACTCAAACATCGGATTGGGGTCCTGCCAGAAGACCCGGTGAATCGCAAGTTGTTGAAATGTTAGCCTATTTTTAATGAGGTGCTCTCAGTACACTCCCTCGCGCTCGCAATCCGCATTTTGTGGCTCACCGGGCAGGCTGCGCACGCAGCCAATGTGGTGAGTTTGGATTGAACATTGGAGGCTGAACACCGTCTGAAACTGATTTGTTTTTCATTTGCAAGAATGCAGTCGGAGCTACGTATTCGTCTTAATGACGACGGATATAAAAACTGGATTAAAGCGGGCCTCTGTCTGCAGAAAACTCGAAATTGTCTGATTGGCTTTGTTATCAGCGAAATGGAGAAATTCCACCAATTTCTCCTTCACGCTAACTCGTTGCTGTGGCGAGAAATTTGCAAGAATTCTTGCCGTCCGCAAGGAACAAAAGTGAGTAAATAGAACCCAGAAGCTACGTATCTTTGTAAACAAGGAAACAAGCCGGAATTGAACTATTAACTGTATGTTTTGTACCATCCTTTCAAAAACGAAAACGTTATTTCGTCATCTTTTAGCACTTTTTGAAGTATTTTATTTCCTATTGAGTATGAAGTTTGGTACTTTATATTTCATTGAAGTAATTCTGTGTCCAGCGTCAGTACAGTATCGTGGGATTCGAAATGGGATATATTGTCCGGCGCTGTTGGGAATGGGGAATGTATAACTACAAATCTTTTCAGTAAGCTTCCACTTCCGATTGTCGGGATAAAACCGCAGTATGCATATATCATTATATATCAAGGATAGGCGTTCTGCCGTAAAGTTGCATTTTTACGATAGGGGGAGGGCAACTTCAATTAAACTAAATTTGGAGACATAGTTTTGCTAGGACCGAGAGAGGGGACAGGTAAGTTTACCTTCGTCAGTGGCCGACATACCTGCAAACGGACACGAAAAGAATTCCACAGGTCCCAGAACAAAGGTTAAGGAAGATGTCCAGCTGGGAGGTGAACGGGAAAGAGTGTGATCGTTAGTACGTGAGATTCAATTATCGGATGACGTTGACTGATTAAACAAGGTGGATAAAATCAGTTTGGAGCATTGCCACACCATTGTACTGGTTTGAACACTGGTGCAAACAAAGTGGATTCAAGAGAGTTTATGGATGAGTTTCAGAGTTGACCAGAAACCCACAGAAATTGATTCAGGAGTCCAATGGAAATGTGGTCTCCAATATTGACAGTATGCTCATTATCATAACTTTCTATTTAAACATTAACATTATACTTTCCACCACTTGTACTAAAGGAACAATATAAGCAGTAGGATGATGTAACATTATGACAAACTTATGTTGTCAATTTTCACGATAATGGTGAACATGGAAGTTTATAATGGCAATATAAATATTAGGATGGTGCCATTTGAACATCACAGGAAGGTGACTGGGTAGTCCCTGGAGATTATTCATGAATTGCCCTTTGTTATTTGGATACCTTGTCAGTCAGAGTCTGGGTTGTCTGGTTTCTGCATTTCTCTGCCCCGTCCATTCATTACAAGAGAAGTAATTAATAGAGCTTGACACTGGAGTCATCAACAAACGGATGAACTCTTGGCCCTTATGACATGATGGGAAATTTTTAAAATTAATTCATGGGATGTGTATTGTCCATCACTTATTGCCCATCTAGTTGCCCTTGAGAAGGTGGTGGTGGTGAACTGCTGCCTTGAACCATTGCTGTCCATTTGGAATACGTAGATCTACATGACATGAAGTTCTAGGATTTTGACCCAGCAACACTGAAGGAACGGCAATACATTTCCATGTCAGGATGATGAGTGACTTGGGAGGGATGTCGGTGGTGGTGATATTCCTGCTGCCTGTATCCTTCTAGATGGTAGTGCTCGTGGACTAAGATGTTACTGTCAAAGAACCCTTGTAGAGTTCATGCTTGAAGCTGATTCTACTCAGGATGATGGACACGAAGCAGCAATGTCTCGGGAGTGTGATTAGTCCCAAAATTGACCATTGACTTCCTAGGTATTGAGTATAAGTACTGCCACTGAAGAGTTGCTTTCTCAACCCCCACTGTTATGAATTTTATGAGAGTTCTTTGATGTCGTTTGTGACATGATGCTTTGACTTCATTGGTAGTTTCACAGAATCGCTACAATGTGGAAACAGGCCCTTTGGCCCAACAAGTCCACACTGACCCTCAGAGCATCCCAACCAGACACGTCCCCTGTAACCCATCTAATCTACACATCGCTGAACACTATGGGCAATTTAGCGCAGCCAGTCCACCTAGCCTGCACATCTTTGGACTGCAGGAAGGAACCAGAGTATCCAGAGGAAACCCACGCAGACACGGAGAATGGACAGTTGCCTGAGGGTAGAATCAAACCCAGGTTCCTGGCGCTGTGAGGCAGTAGTACTAACCACTGACCCACCATGCTGCCCCTAGTTCCAAGTAGTTGCATTGTTGATATAGTTCCACCACTTCATTGGGTCACAACATAAAATTACATTTTTCCAGTTACCAAGATAATCAATTAAGTACTTTATCTATATCAGATTAATCAACAAGATCCATTAATCAGTTTCTTAAATATTGGTTTATTATCAAAACAAAGCTTATTCAATTAATATGCAATAAAAGTTAGTTATATAGAAGAATAAATGTGTATCCTTCTAAATATCCCAAAATGCCCACACAAACACACAGTCAATGCAGTCAAGAAAGCTGCAAGAACTGGGATGGCATGGAAAATTATTTTTTCATACTGTTAACAAAGGGAGAAAAGGAGCAAGTGGAACAGATTGTAAGGGTTCCCAGAGAGAAAGGGGTTATTAATGGTAGTGAAGTGAAGATCGAGATGTAAAAAGAAGAAAATAGGTCCTCTGAAAAAACGTGTAAAAATAGAAACGATAAAAAAGAGCAGACGTAGGCCATTCGGCCCTTTGACTCTGCTCCACCATCCGTTATGATCATGGCTGAGCATTCAACTCAATAGGCTATTTTCCCCCTTTTCCCCTATATTCTTTGATCCCTTTAGGCCCAGGTGCTATATCCAACTCCTTGAAATCATAGTGTTTTAGTCTCTGAAGGATCACTGGACCCAACTCTACTTTCTCTCCACAGACCTGATGAGTTTCTTCAGCAATTTCTGTTTTAGTATTTTGGCCTCAACTGCTCTCTGCAGTAGCAAATTTCACTGGCTCACCACTCTCTGGGGGAAGAAATTTCTCTTCATCTCAGTTGTAAATGGTTTACCCCATATCCTTAGACTGTGACTACTGGTTCTTGACTCACCCGCCATTGGGAACATCCTTCCTGCATCTATCCAGTCCAGTCCTGTTAGAATTTTATAGGTTTCTATGAAGAATCTCCTCCCCCAATTCTTCTAAACTCCAGTGAATATAATGGATCCAGTCTCTCCCCATATGTCACTCCCACCATCCCAGTAATCAGTCTGGTAAACCTTTGCTGCACTCCTTCTAAAGCGAAGATAACCTGCCTTCCTGTTTTTGCTACCAAAGTGGATAACCTCACAATTATCCACATTATACTGCATCTGCCATGCATTTGTCCACTCACTAAGCTTGTCCAAATAATACATAAGCATGTTTGAATCCTTCTCGTACCTTCCCACCCAGCTTTGTCATCTGCAAATTTGAAGGAATTAGGTTTAGTTCCCTCAACTAAATCATTCATATGTGTTGTGAATGGCTGGGGTCCAAGCAATGATCTCTGTGGTACCTCACTAATTCACTGCCTGCCAATCAGAAAAAAGACATTCATTCTTTGTCTTTATTTCCAACCAGTTTTCTATCCATGTCAACACACTAACTTCTCCTCCTGCCCCACCCAATCCCATGTGGTTTATCTTTATTTTTTCTTTAATCTTTATGCGGGGCTTTGTCAAAAGCCTTCTGAAAGTCTGAATAAACCACATCCACTGGCTATCCCTCAAGTCTACTGGTCCCATCCTTGAGGATTTCCAGTAAATTTGCCAAATATCATTTCACTTACATAAATCCATGGTGACTCTTTCCGATCCTGCCACTGCTTTCCAAGTGCACTACTATAAAACCTTTTATCATGGACTCTAGCATTTTCTCCATTACTGACATCAAGCTGACTGGTCTATCATTCCCACTTTCCTTTCTGCCTCCCTTTTTAATTAGAGGGGTTATGTCTGTTGTCCCCCAGTTGTGGGAACTGTTCTGGAGTCTATAGAATCTTGGACAATGCCCACAAATACATCCATTATTTATAGGACTACTTCCTTAAGTACTCTAGGATGTAGATTATCAGGCCCTCAGGATTTATTGACCTTCAATATCATCAATTTCTCTACTTATACTAATTTCCTTCACCTCCTTGCTCTCACTAAACCTTATGTTCCCCAACATTTCTGGTGTGGTATTGTATCCTCCTTTGTGAAGACAGAACCAAAATATGTATTTAGTTGGTCGACCATTTCTTTGTTCCACACTACAAAATTCATCTGTTTCTGGCCTACGTTTGGCTCCATCAATCTTTTTATCTTCACATACCTGTAGAACCTTTTTACAGTCAGAATCAATCCTTGCTGAATTCTGACCTACTCCCACTCCTCAGATGTTTTTTTTGCTGGCCAGTTTGTATGCCTACTACTTGGATCTAATGCTGTCTCTAATTTCCTTTGTAAATCATGGTTTACCCATCTTTACCATTTTATTTTTGTGCCAGATAGCAATGAACAATTGTTATAGTTCACCTATGCATTCTTTGAATGTTGCCGTTGCCTTTCACCATCACCTCTTTAAGTAATGTTCCTCATTGTATCATAAATAAGACCAGGGAGCTGCATATTTTTGCCCATAAGGAAACAAGCAGGAATTGAACTATTGACTATCCTTTGTACTATCCTTTCAAAAGTGTAAGCATAACTTATCTTCATTCACTTGTGAAAAGAGGAAATAAAGATTTTTCTGCTTTACTGGCTTTTTAAAAAAAAAAAAAGTGCTTTGGCCAAGATGTTATTCTTGGAGGCTAAAGAATAAAGTACAGAATGTTCCATAGTCTGTTGGTACATGTGCTTAAGTCACTAATCATGTACAGTTGTCTCTGAAATCTTGAAGACTCAGCTTGCTTAGGAAATACAATCTTGAGCTGTTCCCTTCAAAATCATTCTTTCAAAAGAACAAATAGTTTTCAACTTAAATTCAACAAGAGAGTTTTCAGATACAGGAGCAATCAACTTGCCAATTCGTTCACCATGTTGATAAAACCAGCACTTCACCAAGCCAATCACTGTTCAAAACAGCCCCAACAATCTCATTATTTCTCATTTTAGTTTTACACAATGTGGAACTCTATTAGTGTTTGTATTTGTGCTGCAGTAAAGACTTTCACAGATTGACTACCCTCTGAGAAAAGAGGGTCAGAAGACGATTCTCCCCAGGTTGCTTGTAGATATCTGAAACCTTTTGCATGTAACCCTCAGAATAAACCTAGAAGCACCAGGAAAAGCCTCTTTTTGCCACCTCAATCTACAGAAGCCTCCTCAAAAAAACAGATGTATACTTCATGAATTCTGTCAATTGACTGGCTTTGCATGAGCAACATCCAGGTTTCATTTGGCGATCTCATCTGATGAGCTACATTTTAAGAATTAAAAAATATCACAGTGTCCTCTGTCATCAAATTTTGGGAGGGGATTACACAAATCTAAACCACTCTAGTTCCATTAATCAATGGGCCACAACCTAATTGGAAAAGGTTTATTTTACATAACATATTTAATTGGTTATTTATTATGATAATGATACATATCAGATTTGAAACTACAGGATCTATCAACCTGCTTACTTATTTATTAGTTTATCAAAACATCTATTCAGTGAAGATACAATAATAGGTTAATGCACACAGTCTGTAAAATAGAAGCACGAACTCTAAATGCATCCAAAGTGGCAAATGTGAATGCAGATTCTCTTCTGTAAAAGAGAAAAAAAAAATACATTTCTGTGCAGAGAGTGGCTTTCTAAAGAAAATACTTTGGTTAATGAGTTATCCTTTGAGTGAAAGGATAAAGAGTAGAATGTTCTAGAGCCTGTTGCTGACGGTCTGGCATATGTTGTCAAGTCAGTAGTTTTGCATTGATGTTTCCTAAGTCGTACAGATGCATGGTGCTCAGGAAATGCAATCTTGAGATTTACCTTCAGAGATCTTTCAAAGAATAAACAGGTTTCACCCTGAATTCTACAAAAGGATTCTCCTTTCAGTAATGTGAGTGATCAGTTGGTTAGCTTTTTCTTAACGGGCTTTCTTCCAATTAAACCAGATAAGATAACCGCATAACCAGCCAGTCATTGTTTAAAACAGCCCCAGTGGTGATCTACAGCAAGGCAAGTAGTTGTCAGCTATCAGATTTGCAGGGAGAGAGTATTTTATAAAAGAAGACCTCCAATATCCACACTTAACTTCCCGCAAAACCAGATGACATAGGCTCTATGGTCTACTTCTGCTCCTATCGTTTCAGCTCTGCTATTCAGGAAGATTGTGGCTGATCTGATAGTCCTGAATACCACTTTCCTGTCTTGTCCCCAATTCTTTGATTCCCTTAGTGATTAAAAATCTATCTCAGTCTTGAATATACTTACTCAGCCAGCCTTAACAGCCCTCTACAGTAAATAATTGCACAGAGTAACTACCCTCCTGAGAGAAGAAATTCTTCGTCATTTCTGTCTTAAATGTGCAACCCTTTATTCTGAGATTGTGTCCTCTGGTCCTAGAGTCTCCCAGAAAGGGAAACAAACTTTCTGCATCTACCCTGTAAAGACCTCTTGGAATTTTTTATGCTTCAATAAGGTCACCTCTCATTCTTGTATATTCCAACAAGTACAGGCCCAAATCTGCTCAACCTATCCTAATGACATAGTCCCTCCATACCTGGTATCAGCCTAGTGAACATCGTCTACACTGCCTCAAATGCAATATATCATTTCCTTAGATACTGAGCCCAAAATTGCGATGACATTTAAAGAAGCCACTGCAGATATTTCCACAAAACTTGGAAAAAAATCCACTTTTCACAGTTCTGAGTAATATTAATATAACACATCTGTGTTACATAATGCTTTAAATATTTAATCTCCAGAGTTCCAAATGTTCATGTGTGATGTGTACCGCAAGTGAATACAAACTGCTCTATTTCAGGTTGTCAGAAATTTATGTTAAATGTTCTAAGTGCCTCCTGTTCTCTGGCAATCCATGACCTGACCCAAACTTTGAATAATTTCCAAACTAACTTTTTAAAAAAATTCCCAACCAGTATGCCATGACTGCCTGAATTTCTTACAATCTAAACTAACCTTTCCATCCATCAGTTGGACCTAAGCTTTTAATAGCTACCAAATCCTTTTGATTACTACTAAAACCTTGGCACCGCTAAGTACAAAGCTCTTAAATCAAGCCTTTTGGTGCAGATATATCTCTGACCTGAATGAACACAATAATTGCATTCATATAGTGCGTCTAAACATTATGAAACATACCATAACTTTTCTCAAAAATGTTATCAAATAAAAATTGACATTGAGCCTCGTAAGGAGATATTAAGACAGATGAAGAAAAGCTTAAAGAGATAGGTTTTGAGGAATATCTTTTCAAAAAAATGGGTTATTAAAACAGTGATGTAGGGAAGGAATTCCAGAGCAATTATGCACTGTTTCAAAGTAACTTGGTATGATATTCTGGACAGTTGATGGCCTTGTGGTATTATTGCTGGGCTGTTAATCCGGGGGCCCAGAGCAAATGGTGGAATTTGAATTCAATTTAAAAAACCTCTGGAATTAAGCATCTAATGATAACCATGAATCCATCCTCAAAAATCCATCTGGTTCACTAATGTCCTTTAGGGAAGGAAACTGCTATCCTTACCAGTTCTGGTCTACATGGGATTCCAGAACCACTGCAACGTGGTTGGCTCTGAACTGCCCTCTGGGCAATTAGAGATGGGCAATAAATGCTGCCCTAGCCAGTGACGCCCTCATCAGTCAATTTAAAAAAAAAAAGTAATTACACCTGAAGAGAATGTTTGTTTGATGTTGATTTCCCCATATGCAATATCACAGGACTTCAGCTGGTAATTTTTTTTTTTCTTACTCACTCGTGAGTGTGGACACCACTGGCTGGCCAGCATTTCATTGCCGTGTCCGTAGGTGCCCTTGAAAAGGTGGTGGTGAGCTGCCTTCTTGAACCGCTCAGTACATGTACTGTAGGTTGACCACAATGCCCTAAGGGAGGGAATTCCAGGATTTTGACTCGATGACAGTGAAGGAATGGCGATATATTTCCAAGTCAGGATCATGAGTGCCTTCGAGGGGAATTTGCAAGTGGTGGTGTTCCCATGTTAATGCTAAAAGCATGCAATTGTTTGCAATACCTGTATACACTAGCCTTACATCATGTGTAACAATTTTTCACCTCTTGACCTGAAGTTGAATTGTGGAATTTTGCAATTTCAGAAATCTCTTGATTTTGTAATTGATGTTCCTGATTTTTTTTTTTTAAAAAACTGTTAACTTATGCAATGTCTTACAACACACAATTTTCTTTAGTTTCAGGGGGCATGCGATTTATGTGAAGAATGGAAGACAGAAATTCTGAAGCACCATACAAATCAGAACAATGTGTTATACTGGGGCAACTGTTCTCCTCCACTGTGGCCAAAGCAGGCTTGGGAAGTGGCAAAAGTATGTTTTATGTTCAGTTTTATACACAGAAAGGTGATAAACAGTTACTGTATTCAGAATATTTATTGATAAATACAATACGTACAACATGGACCTCTACTGTGCAGACACATTGTTCATTCTAGTTCTTATTTCAAAATGCAGCTCCTTTCTGTGACTTTTATGAACCAATCCAACTTGGCTTTTATTTTGCTGAAAGTGTTAGTCAACTTTTTTGCAGTTGTATTAATTTCTGTAGATCCAGATTACGATGACAAGTTGAAAAGTGCACATATTAGCAGTGATATGCTTAATTATGGACAATTATCAGCTATAATCCACTTTCTGAAGTACAGTGAAACCTGTAAAGATGAGCACTTAGAATAAAATTAACACTGATTGAGAGATCTAGGTTTATGTGGTAATATGTATGAAAGGCCCTCCTGAAACTGCATACAATCTTAAATTACGTTCTATGGACAGCCTTCAGTGGACCAAGCCTTTCACAACTAAAAGCTCAGTCTGAGGCTGCAGGGAGCTTTTAAAAGAAACGACTTCTCTGAAATGGGGATCACTTTACCCAGCATCCGGAGGGGCGGGTGGAGAATTTTCTGGATTGAGTGCTGCCATGTCTCAGTCTTTTTTTTTCTGCTTTCAATGCTGAATAAATGACTTCCTATTCTTTCTCAAAGCCATCTCGTACTGACCTCATCAACAATGTTACAATCAAAGATGCCAGGCATAAACTGTGCTGTAGCTGTGTCAGTTTTTAAGGAATGGTGTAGTGTCTGTCACAAGCTGCTGCACACTGTAAACAGATGTTCCAGAGAATGTGGTCCATAGCTTCCTGTCACAGAAAGCCCACATGACTTGCGAGAGAGGGCTGTCTTTTCTAGCCCCACAGCTGTGTCCATGAAAACATGAAGTGGCTAGTGGCAGCCTTACTCCTGCAGACTCACTAACCAGAAGTCTACAGTTTCGTTCCTATTTCATATGTAACCTGCTGTGTATCCCCAAAATATTCTCAATTTGTTCTAAGACTTACCTTTGTATGAAAATCACCTTCCTCCCTTCCTTTCCTTCTGCCATTGGATATAGTGATAATATAAAATTATTCAAATCTGGCAAGCAGATATCGGTTTAATTTATTATTTAATTGCATTTGATGAAGATGTATATATCTAATGTCTCAACTGTAGCTGCACAAAGAAATAAACAATATTCTGTCATTTTACATTTGTGTAGAGATGGAAGTTTTATCGATTCTCTTGTACCCTTTTTCTCTCTCTAAATTGTGAAAGAAAGCTCAAAACCTTAGGCTTCTGGTCTCACAGCCAGTCATTTATAATTCATGATGTCCTGGTAAAAGTTCATAGAACGTTGTGTTTCAAACTATTTTCCAATATTTGAGTGCTTTAAATTGTATGTACATGTTCTTTGTTTACAAAGAACAGCCCTCTGTATTAATATATGTACCTTCCATTACACACTGCCAGCCCAACTGACAATCTTAAATTGGTTATCAGCATAATTACACCACAATTCAGGATTATCCAGCAAATGTTGTCTGAATGCAAAAACACATATAATGTTAGAATCTGTGTTGCAAGTTTTGCAAATGCATGCTGTTTAATGCAGTCAGTACCTTGTTTGTTACAAACACCCAAAGAGACTTGCTGCTTGTTATGATCTACCTTACTTGACATCACATCAGCAGCAAAATTAAGGTATGAAATGGAACATTCAAATAAGCTCCCTTTCCTCAATGTCCTAGTTTATAAATTGGTCAGGGGTTCTCAGTTACTGTCCACCACAAACCATCTGTCACTAGTCAGTGTACACATTGGAATTTCTACAGTTTCACATGCTACAAGATTGGCCTTATCGGAAACCTTGTAAATAGGACCCTTTTCTCCCTTGGCCCCTCAATGTTATTGTGGACAATACTTCCAGAGACACAATACTTGGTACAAGTGTCCAAGTGTCAAATTGTTGGCAAATTAACTCAAGAACCATGGATCACTTTTACTAAAGGGTATTACTATCAGCAGAATTGTGATTCATTGAACCCTAAAGCAGCCGAAGATTAGACAGCCTTTAACAGTTTATTTCTAGCTATGCTTTAAATCCACAAGCCATTTGTATGTAAATATAAAAAAAACTCAACTGTTTTTGGCTGATTCTTGCAGTGTCATTCTGTACAATCTTTTCCCAATTGCAGTGACATTGTTGTATAGGGGGTTTTTACTCCCAGGTGGTTACAGACTCTCCCTTTTCCCATCTATTCCCTGCATCAGCGATCTCAAGACATATTAGAAAACCTTAATGTTATCCCATTTGTGTTATAAATGCTCAACAGAAATTTTTTTTCTTCTTGCTAGTGCACGTCCCATTTTAAGAGTTGACGGCTTCTTTCAAATGACTAAAGATATGCCATATTTCTAATCTTCCAAAACAGATATGGGGTCACTGGAAAGCATGAGTAGTGTAAACTGAATGCTACATTTATTATATTGTGGCTATAAGCCAAAAATTACTTGCTACTTTAAGTAACTGCACTGTTCCTGTGTGCCTGTTTTCTTGCACAATTGAAATTCTGGACTAACCTCGATCAAGATTTCCCATATTATGAACCACATGAGCAGAATACACATTCTGTCATCAGCACTAAAGCAGTGTGCTTGAACCTCAACCATGATATTTTATCTTCGATTTCTAAAGTCTGGATGTGCCCTTTGTTATGAGTTAACAAGGTACGTGGTAAGTTTTAACCACCTATGTTTTTCCCAAAAATATTTTTGTAATCTTGTTGCAGAGTAGGAAGACTATTTTGGTAAAATTCCATCTCCTAACATCAGGTAATTTACCGTTTAGTTCGTTCTCATTGTGAGCCAATCATTGGTAACAAGTCAGTGTCATGATTGATAGCAGAATGGAGTAATTGATGACAATGCGGTACTTACTTTAGTTTATATCAATTGCAAATTTAAAGCTTTTACTCATTTGTCTATAAATGTACACCCACTGTATTCAGTTCATCTGGTATAATCTGCCTTCCTTGCTGTACTTCATTGTATGATCAACATTGCAACTTCATGAAGATATAGTGTAGGCAAACGGGCATTTTTTTTTTTTTTAAAGGATGGAAAACTCACTATCCTGGAAGCCATTCTCAATATTGTACATTAAAATTAACTTGGTGAGAATTATATTTCTCAACACCAAAAAGCCTGCTTCATCAATGCTAGCTCACGTGTGTCTCTTTTTCAAGTATGTGACAGAATAAATAGCTCAGTTCATAATTTAACCTTCAGGCTATAGTATGGGTATATCCTACCCAAATTATGCTTCTAATTACATTGATTCTATTCTAGAATCCCTACAGTGCAGCTAAGGCAATTTGGCCCACTGAGTCTGCACCAACTCTCCCATCCCAGCAACCCTGTCCTATAATCTCATATTTACCATGGGTGTTCCACCGAGCCTGCACATCTTTGAACTTTGGGAGGAAACCCACATAGACGTGGGGAGAATGTGCAAACTCCACACAGTAGGGTTGGAATCGAACCCTGGTCTGTGGTGCTATAAGACAAGAGCACTAACCATGCTGCCTGTGCTTTGTATTTAAATTTTTTTTTAAATAATGATTTGATGTATTTATTTTGAGTTGCGGTTAAATCATGGATAGTGTTTTGTTTTCTGCAGGTCTACATGCCTCATGGACAGGCCAACACACGCGGGCCAGAAAAATGTGATGTGGCAGCTCTGTTAAATCTTATTATTTCATGTGACTGGTTTGATTTCGTTGAACGGCAAAAAGTAATTGAGGTAATGAAGGTAACATTTTGAAACATTTATATGAAAGGTTATCAGAGATAACAAGGTGTAGAGCTGGATGAACACAGCAGGCCAAGCAGCATCAGAGGAGCAGGAAGGCTGACGTTTCGGGCCCAGACCCTTCTTCAGAAAAGGGTTTTTTCTGAAGAAGAGTC